CCAGCTTATCGCCAGGTTCGACGAAACGGGGCCGCGAAACCGTGACGTCACCTGCGAACAGTAAAATATTTTAATAGTGCTTATGAGAGATAAAAACTTTATTTTAACATCAAGGCCACACGTTACAACTGTCTGTCAGATCTATGAATTAAAATTTATGTATACTTAGGTATGCGTGTTACTAAATGCAGTACTACTAACTCTGAAATAAAATTATTGCAATAAAATAGCTTAACTATTGTATAACTGAAAACAATCAAAACAAAATAAAATTTACCGTAAACAAAAAAAGGAGCGACTCACCTGAAATTTCTCGTATGCATAAACCGAGCCGTAATTTAAAAAAAATATATTCTATTTTTGAACGTGACAAGCGCGTAGGGCGCTCTCGAGTGTCATGGCGCGAACGCGGTCGGTCGCCGTGCGGTGCGCGATGGTAGAACGGGGGCAGTGATGTCTGCAATGAAACGGTATCGACAATCGATGTTGTATGTGTGCGTGTAGGAACCGTGAATGTTGATGTTACACCATTTATAAAGCATACAATTTTCTACTACGTACCTACCTACTTACTTACTGCATCTTTGACAGATGTCAAATGTTTTTCTGTTTATATAAATGACATACCATACCATTCTGAATATTATATTTTATTTAACTGTGCAAATAAATAAAACAATTTCAAAATAAAATTGTTGCCCGGTCCGCGTTGATTTTTTTCTAGCAAAGTTTTCTTTAAATTTAAACATCTAGCAGTTAAATACTTAAAAATTAAATAATTTCATTTTATTCCTTTAAGAACAGGCAACAATCCTTATAATATAATAAAAAACGGACATGTACCTGTTCACTGCTGTTTGAAATCTCTTATCATTAGAAAGAAAAAAAGAATCATTAGAAATAATACAAGGTAGGTATTATTTATTAGTACAGCCTTGTTTTTTTTATATATATTTTTTATGTAATACGTATAATAGTTTCAGGTATTCTAATAAACCGGGCAAAGTTAAATTAAAATTGTTCCAAAAATTAATGAACTCAGGATCGAATTACATTTGGGGACCCTAAGACCGATTTTGTCCGGCAATATATCTCTTGCGACGTGTTACAAAATTACGGATACTTATGTAGGTATCGGAAGTAGAGTTTTGAGACAAGGTACATATGTACGTACCTTGTGTCAAAATTCTACTTCCTTTTCAAAGAATCTCAAGTCACAACAATATAATAGAAGTTTTACTTCAATAATACTGTTTAAAGCTATAGAATTAAATAAGTATTAAAAAAAATACAAATGCACTTGATTAAATCAATATAAATACAGGCATTTTTTATTATTGAGTTTTTTTTTGCTTCACGTTATATTAATTGCGTAGTTAGTAATAAAATATTCATTTAATAATTATTTAAATTGAATATAATTTCAAGAAAATTTTACTAGAAAAAAATCCACGCCGACCAGACAGCAGACGGGACTAGAAAACGCACCCTTTTTTCCGCTTAAAAATAACTTGTATATAATTATTAGTTAAATTGCACAAAATCAAAATCGATAATAATTTATTCGCATCTCTAAAACTTCAAGGGAAGGCGATAAGTGAAAAAGGGACGCATGCGCGAGGGCGGGTAGCGACGGCACCACAACAACGCAACCAAATATTTGAAATTCGTTATACAGCTCATCTGATTCTCAACCTTACTTTGTTGTACGACGGTGTAGAATGTATTATCTAATTTATGTCATTAAGGATGTAGTTAAATTTCGACTCTGATATCTGCACATTGGGTATAATTTTAAATCTTTACTTTTAGTAACGTTTCCAAGATGAGTCATCGTTTCGTGGTCTATTGAGTCCACTTTGATTGTACAATCGACGACAAACAAAATGATAGCTCAATGTCTCAGCTCAGCGCCGCGTCTCATAGTTGTGAAACGCCTACCATTATTGTATGAGCAATAGTTACCTTGTGGGTTATATTGCTCTGCAATTCAATCTTATTAATTTCAAATAATACTGAGTGGAATAGTTGATAGGATACATATTATAATAAAAAAGTACTTGTGTATTTCAAAAGTAGCTGGTCACTTAATAACTGGAGCGGATTTTAATTTCGCAGATTTTTTAGACCGAAAAAACGCTAAACAGCCAAAAGGTAGTGTTATTTTGCGCTCCAATTGGAGCGGACAATCCGCTATGCTAATCGAACACTAAGAACTGTAATCAATTTATCAATCGTTGAAATAAAGAAAATCTGACTTTATTTTAATATTCTTTTTGTTTTTTTCAGTTTTCTACACTAGGGTTTTCTTTATGGCTCACTTATTATAAGGGAACAAACAACATGACGAAACTATAAAGTTTTCGTTCCGAGGTCTGTGCGTCCGAGGTTTTGCTTGAAGACTGTTCTGTAATTTTACAGAGGTATGAATAGTATAGTATATCAATCACGCCGACAAAGTTGAAGAATAAAATATTGAAATTTAGGTATATTTATTTAAGGTAGCTCTCCTACATGAAAAGTGGGGATGAATTATTTTTTCATCTTTTACTGTGTGGGGTATCATTGAATAGATCATATAAAATTACTTAGGGGTTGCTAAGACTTTTTTCGATCTAGCTCTAAAGCGTACCCCCTCCCCCCCAACTCTCAAACTAAGCTATACGCTTGAAAATTTTGGCAATATTCATAAGATTAGTTAGTTTAAGACTAATGGTCATTATTATGTATTAGAAAATTTCTTACCTAATAAAAATCCTTTAAAAGTGACTTAAATGAAGTAATTGCGTAAAATTTAAAACGCGAAAACCCTGCATTGAAATATTAAATTTGGAAAAACTCACAATAAAATATCTGCAGTAAAATGTTATTGACCTTTCTTACTAATAAGTATTTCAAAGTGTTTTCAACGTAATGTGACCATTATTTTTATAATTTCACTTCGTTCAGAATCATGTTTCTTCGAGCTGGATACCGAGTCGAACTATTTTGTTGTCAACGTCCTGGGATCTCGATGGCGCAGGTGGTTAGCGCGTTCGGCTGTGATCGTTGAATTTAAGCAATTTTCGCAGTGGTTGGTCATTGGATGGGTGACCAAAAAATCTTCTATCTCGAGCTCCTCCGTGCTTCGGAAGGCACGTTAAGCCGTTGGTCCCGGCTGCATCTGCAGTCGTTAGCACCCACTAATCCGCACTGGGCCCGCGTGGTGGGTCATGGCCCAATCTCCCTATTCCATCCACAGGGAAGGCCTGTGCCCCAGCAGTGGGGACATTAATAGGCTGATGATGATGATGATGATGTCCTGGGATCATGAGCACTAACTAGCGTTTAAGCAAAATCAAAATCAGATCCATCGCTTACAATAAGGAAAATTAATAGGAACCTGTTCTTATATTTATATATATAATTCTTCTGTGAGTGTGTATGTCACTGAACTTCTCTTAAACGACTGGACCGATTTTGATGAAATTTTTTGTGTGTGTTCAAGGGGATCTGAGAATGGTTTAGATTCACAATTTTGTCCGCTGGACAACCCCTATTTTTTTAGGGCGGTACGAAGTTCGCTGGGTCAGCTAGTATATATATATATATATCACTTAGGTAATAAAAAAGTATGAACTTAATTCTAATAAAAAGAAACAAGTTGTATAATTACACGGCCTCGATGCTAAAATAAAAACAAATAACAGGGCCGCGGTAGCATAATTGATCAGTGCATTCGCCCGGATTGCGAAGGGTGCGGGTTCGAGTCCCGTTCGCTGCCTGGTCCGCGTGATTTTTTTTTATACCCACCTGGGTAGGTTTGGTTAGGAGAAATACAGGCCTAATCTGTTTATGAAACACATTGCCAGTAGGCCAGCAGGTACTCTATACAATTTCTAGGAATTGTGTTAACTAGGCAAAGTATAAAATGGAGAATAATATTAAGAATATTTCATACATTGCCTCAGACGTTCCAGGCATTGCCTAGGTATTGTATAGAATACCTGAATTATACAGATTACCGGTGACACCTTTTTTTTATAACGCAGGTAAAAATGCTATTTACAGACGACGGCGCCTTTAAGAGGCACACCGCCGAACGGACCTCACGCCTGGCTCCCGCAAGTCTTACGGACCCCCCAGTGGCTGCCCACCAAGGACCCCGCAACTCTTACGGGCGCTTTACGGCATAATATCCGCTAAAAAAGTCCTGCGAATACCCCCTCTAAGCTGCTTAGCGCGAAGCCGCGGGTCCCCGTTTAGGGATTCCTCCGCGTCTCCGCACTGCCTCCCTGCTGGCTGCTGCCTCCCGGCCTAGCCGGGGCTCCACGGCAGGGGTCTCCCGGGGTATCGCGGGGACCCCGCAGACGTGCGCAGGTAGGCCCGCGCGTGGGGGCTGAGTACGCGGCCTAGTGCCCACTGTACCGCCCCCCGTCCGCTGCGGAGGGCTACTTGGGCGTGCCTGTGTAGCTCCCTCCGCCGCCCCCCTCTTTGCAGGACAGAACTACAAGGGGGGGCTGCCGTCACGAGGTCCGTCGGTGGCCGGCACAGCCAACGCCATGCCGGTCAGCGAGGGACCCCTCGGGTAGGGTCATGGGACGGGCGCAGCCAGGGCGCGCCGCCGTCCTCTCCCACCCGTCCTCCTTTGGCGGGAGGGAGCGGCCAGAGGATCATCCTCCCGCTCCCTCTCGGCCGCCTCCCACGCCCTGTCGCTGCGGAGCATGGCCTCCACCATTCTCCGCAGCGAGAGGGCTCCGCATCCCAGCGTTGTATAGAATACCTGAATTATACAGATTACCGGTGACACCTGGATAGTTATTTTGAAACTCGTTCAGAACATGATTCATTAATAAGAACGGGTGCAAGGAACTCATTAGAATTTCAGCTGCGATAACAATACCGTTGTTACTCTCTTTATTATTAGGTATAAAAAGTATAATAATATAGAGCGATTAAAAACTGTCTAGATATCAAAAGATTGCGAACTGGGACATATTATTGTTTATGACGACCTCCGTGGCCGAGTGGTTTGTCCGCCGGGTTTCATAGCGTCGCCGACTCGAGAGGTCCCGGGTTCGAATCCCGGTGGGGCAAATGTTTGTGTGATGAATATGAGCATTAGTACTTCAGTCATGGATATTTAATATGTATTTCTATATAAATATACTTATGTATGTACTGTATATTTATTTATTCTATCCGTTACCCTAGTATCCCATAACATAAGCCTTACAATGCTTACTTTGTGACTAGGTTAATTGGTCATGAATTGCGGTGGTTATTTCCACTGGTTTCTTCGTCATACATTTTTGTCATAGTAGTGACCAAGAAGATATACAATACCTGTTAGGCATACTCTTGAATCTAATCTTAATGTCAATTTGAAGCCAATCCAATAACAATACAATACAGAAACTATTATATACGATACTCTTGAAACGCTTGAAATTGGCATTGCATTGAAATTGGAATTGAGGTTTTATTGGAAAGTTACGCATGAAGTTAACCTATAACCCTATAACCTTAATTATGCCCTATTTGCTTATTAGTCCTGCTATTTTCATGTTGGCCTAGAGTAGAAGCGAATTTCAGTGACAATTTCTAGACCTTCAAATCCGTATCTAATAATATTATAATTTGTGAAGAACATTTTGCTGGTGTTGTGTTTCTGTCAGTGAGTAAGGTACCGGCCAAGTCACACAACATTAACCATAATAATAAAGAAATCGTAGTTATGAACCTTAGACTTGGCACAACTTTGTCTTGATTTCATTACTTTTTAGAGATAAACAAGTAGTTCTTCCATCGAGACTTGGCTAGTTTTTTACAGAATGTTTTTGGTGGGATTATACTTGGAAAAAGGTATGGGTTACAGAACAACATTAACATCTTAAAGTTTTGTAGAATATCTAAGAATATTTGTTTCTTAGTTTTTCACGCACATCGCATTCCTGCAGAGAACGTCAATCTAATATATGTATAAAATTCTCGTGTCGCGGTGTTTGTGGTTAAACTCCTCCGAAACGGCTTTCCCGATTCTCATGAAATTTTGTGTGTAAATTGGGTAGGTCTGAGAATCGGACAACATCTATTTTTCATCCCCCTGAATGGTAATCCACCCCTAATTTTTTTTTTCAATTTTAGATATTTTTAGTTTTAATTTTTTTATGATACATCATACAAAATACATACAACCCTAAATTTTCACCCTTCTACCACCAACCCCTATTTTTTATGGCGGTACTAAGTTCGCTGGGACAGCTAGTAAATAAATAAAATAAGTGCATCTAACCCGTTGAAACTCATTTTATTTAATAACTAATAAATAATTCTTACCATGTCATATTCACCTACGCATCCCTAGAAATTGATCGTATTTAACGACGAGCAACTCCTTGCATCGTTCATAATATACGTATATGTGGCAGTGAATGTTAAGGAAAATGGCCGGTTTAAGACTCATAGTGTTGTTGTGTACGTTCGCTGCAGTGACGCAAGCCTGCCGCCAGCACAACGAGAAGCGGTCACCACGAGATGGTAGGGGATATAATACTATAATCACTACATAGTGTAAAACAAAGTCGCTTTCTCTGTCCCTATGTCCCTTTGTATGCTTAAATCTTTGTAACTACGCAACGGATTTTGATGCGGTTTTTAATAGATAGAGTGATTCAAGAGGAAGGTTTATATGCATAATACATGCATAATCATAAGTTTTCGGGCAAAGTTGTCAACAGCAGATGCGGTGCATAACCTGACTAACTATATTACTCAGGAACTAGGCAAAGGAAAGCATATTCTAGCTGTTTTTCTTGATTTAGCAAAAGCGTTCGATACCGTTTCAATTCCGAAGCTTCTAAAAAAGTTGGAAGCATTGGGTATTAGAGGAACACAGTTAAAACTGTTTGCAGATTATTTAGACAATCGATCTCAATGCGTTAAAATAGGAAATATTAAAAGTGATTACCAGAAAATGACCTGCTATGGTATTCCCCAGGGAAGTATAATCGGCCCTACCCTTTTTCTCGTTTACATCAATGATTTATGTAACCTTAATTTTAAATGTGGTAAAATTATATCTTACGCCGATGATACGGCCTTGATTTTTAGCGCCAATAGTAGGTCAGAATTATATGAGGTAGCTCAACTTGGTCTTAATGGTGTAAATAACTGGCTTCCCTGCAATTTACTAACACTGAATACTGACAAAACCAATTATATTCACTTTTCTATGCGCCAGCCTTGTCATGGGTTTACAAATCCTAACTTATACGCACACCAATGCCAATATCCTTCAGTCAATAAATGCGATTGCCCTTTAATACAGAAAACATCCCATATAAAATATCTTGGTATCTTAATTAACGACACATTATCTTTTAGACAGCATATTGCAAATCTAATAGTCAGGATCCGTAAATTAATGTATATTTTTAAAAAATTACGTACCATTGCAGGTCCAAAACTAATTAAACAGGTATATCAGGCCTTATGCCAATCAGTAATTCAATATTGTATAACTTCATGGGGTGGAGCTCTCAAAACTATTTTAATCCCTCTCGAGCGAGCTCAGAGAGCCATTTTAAAAGTAGCCAATTCTCTTCCCTTCTTCTATCCTACGCATCAACTTTACAAATACTGTAATGTGTTAACTGTTAGCCAGCTTTTCATTATGCACACCATATTAAAACAACACACCATTTCACCTTTTTGCTCTGATATCACTAACAAAAGACGGAAAGATATAGTCTGCATCTCTACACATGATTCAAAATACATCTTTTCACATAGATTCTCTACTTTCCTAAGTCCTTTCTTATATAATAAGTTAAATAGAGTATTAGGTATTTATACATTAAACTATTTTAACTGTAGAACTGTAGTATTTAATTATTTGCACAGCCTGACATACGAGCAGACCGAAGAATTACTTCTTATTTGTAAATAAATGAACGTAACTCCATAATTTACATTTACCAACATTCATATAATGATTAGTTTAAGTTCTGTTTTGATTAATTTGTTAATTTATTAATCATTCAATGTATTATTTAGATCATAAAAGCCTGAAATACAGGTACAATTTTAACTGTAACCTAGTTCAGGCATCCATTATTTTGTACTTTATATTGTTATTAGTATTATTATGCAATGTATGACCTTATTTGAATAAAGATATATTTATTATTATTATATTATTATAATATAGTAGAGAAACACTGATAATTTTAGAGGATTTTAATGTAAGGTCGTAAATAAACACATTTTTTTGTGGTTACATTGCAAACGTTGGCTGAACCCTACGAGATAGATAAAAATAATGTACGACAGTATTGTACACCTTAAAAAGATCTACAAAAAAGTCCGCGATGGTGTACCCACAATAACCATTTTTTATCCTATACTTTTTACGAGAAATGATAGATTATTTACGAAGCGATTTTCAGCATTAAAACATTCATACTTATCCAATTAAGTACCTTTAATACATTGTGCATTTAATATAGACCAATTTGGCCCTTTAAAGCATGTAATTTAAATTAATATTTTCGAAGATATTACAGATTTAAAATGCAGGGACATAGCGGTTTCGACGCTCCCGGGCAGGGAGCTCGGCGGCGCGTGCCTATTGTAATTAGCTATTAGAAGAATGTCATTGTGTATAATACAAGCCTGAGAACAAACACTATAGCCAACACTACAGCTCTACACCGAAGCGAAGCGAGGGCGGGCCACCAGTTAATAATAAGAAATGTATTTCATCATCATCAGTCTATTAATGTCCCTACTGCTGGAGCACAGGATCCCTAGATTGGTTTGGTTTAGCACGCGATCGCTTTGCGGATGGGTGCTAAAGACTGCAGATGCAGCCGGCTTAACATGCCTCCCGAAGCACGGAGGAGTGAGAGATAATAAATTTGTGGTCACCCACCGACGAACGACCATTGCGAGAAGGTTGCTCAATTAACATATGAATATAAATAGAATAGTCTCCATAGTTTTTCGATAAAATAATTATGTATTTTATTTATTACTTATTACAAATTATATTTATTACTAGCAAACCAGTGAACCAAATGTTCACCAAAACCTGATTTAAAAAAAAATGTATTTAATTACTTGAGAAGTTCGGAGATTTTGTGTGGTTTCGTTTGAAATTCGTGATTTCTCGAAAACCGGAAGTGCTACGTTACTCGAATCCGGTTTGTAGTCTTATCAGACTATTCTTAACTTATAACTTAAACATTCTCTTTATCTATCTCTTACGGTTTGGCCGCTGAAACAGCACCACAGACAGACGGACGGACGGACGGACTTGTCTAATAGATAAGAGATTATTATGTATACTATTATTTATTACAAAATAATACGATTAGTCAATCATTTTTAAAACCAAAAGATTCTCGTGTTAATTTGGAACCATTTGGAACAATAAGGTGTTGTTGTGTTTTTTTACAAAGCACAATAAACTATTAACCCACTTCACTTGATGTTAAGTGTAGTCGCGAAGATAGCTACAGAAAAGTGCCATCTCTCTAGCCATCTTCTCCATGCTAGCCAGAATTTTTTGGGAAGTGGACCTTCCTAACCAATAGAAACAGAGTGGCTTAGCATCTCACAGTCGACCTGGGAAAGTAATCTTTACATAATGACTAGCACTTTACATCATCTACAGCGTATCCTAGTCCACTGCTGGACATAGGCCTCTCCAATTGCACGCCACTCAGATCGATCTTGGGCTACTCGCATCCAGCTCCTGCCAGCCACCTTGCGCAAATCGTCACTCCATCGTGCATGAGGACGTCCTACACTACGTTTGCCTAGACGCGGTCTCCACTCCAGAACTTTACATTACTTAAGGCTATACCTTATTTGTATTTTTAAACTTGTTAGCGCAGGTAAAATATAAAAAACCTAAGAAACAAAATAATAAAAATAAAGAAATAAAAATATAATGAATAATTTCTATAATCATCATCCAATAAAAACGAAAGACTACTCAGAAATAATCACAAATAGCTAAAAAGAATATCCATATGAAGCACGACAAAATATATAACAGTAAATATAACTCCTTTGCATAAAACGGGAAGTCAGTAGACCACACAAACTTTAGACCAATTTCTGTGCTACCCATCTTTAGTAAAATTTTCGAAAAAAATGTTTTAGATCAAAAGCAATCATGTTTTAATAAACATAATATACCTCACTGTAAAAAACTTGCAAAAATAAAGATATATTGATTTCTAACTTCTGATTGAGTAAGGTGCCAATTACGGCAATTACAGCTCCAAGGAATAGGAAGTTGGGTTAGGTTAGGTTTTCATGGCTTCAATTTTCAGCACTTCCAGCTTCCAGTCACAAGTAAGCAATTTCAGTCAAAAGTAATTTCCAGTAATAAGCAAGCGATTCGAGAATATTTATCACGTAATGAATTTGTGATGATTGTTCTCACAGTTCCACCATCAGCACCCATGGTGGAGAGCGTCTCCGGCCGCTTCCAGGGCTCGTGGATGAAGAGCAGGCGCGGGAGGAGCTTCCAGGCGTACCGCGGGATACGATACGCCCACGCTCCTGTGGGCGAGCTGCGATTCCAGGTCAGGCAACTGTGTTTTCAGGTGCGCGGACAGTTGGAAACGGGTGCCGCATATAACCCGCACTCCCGTCGTGCATTGTTGGGACTGTGCAATGCAGGTCGGGTGACCGCTACTGGAGTATCTTCTGGCTCTGGTAAGGTCACTTCATCGAGCTATAAAGTTGGATGAAGCGAACGGGGAGGAGTCCAAATACCTTCTTCATGTTCCTCCAGTGGCTGAAACATGCGTAAGGTATTTCCCAGACATTAAAAAAAAAGGTCAGACATCTGTGTACTCCAACTTATTTGACGACCTCCGGGAGCCGAGTGGTGTGTATCCCGGGTTTCAAGATGTCGCCTACTCATGAGGTCCCAGGTTCGAATTCCGCTGGGCCAAATGTTAGTATGATGAATACGACCATTTGTACTTAAGGCATGGATATTTGTTATGTATGTAGGCAGTTATAAGCAACTGTGTCGCATCTTTATCAATAAACAGTGCGTGTTTAACCACAGCTTGTTTCACTTGTCTCCGTATAGCCACAGAATATATACACTACGCGAAGTATAGCTCCGATACACATCACTGGCGACGATTCTTACCATACCCGTATTAGAGAAAAAAATACCTGTTCGTATTTGGGAGTTCTGACTACGTTTGATCATCGTCCGATACCTCACACAAGTAAGCCGCTAAATAATCTCCGTCAACAATAAAAATCAAAAAGTGCTTCAAAATTTCGTAATAAGTACAATTAAAAAGTTTATTATATGAAAAGTATAAACGTTATTCGTTATGTTGGTGTAAATATCTTAGTGAAACAGTGTAAATTGGTGACATAAAATTCAAATAAATTATCGAACAATTTGATAAAATATTCAATTGGTGGTATTGGCAGTCGAAATTGTAAAATTTGTACCCCCAAATGCTAAATATTTGCATTGACCCCAGTAATATAAGAGCCAAATTGGACTGATTTCTCACAAGATCGTCGGCGTAGTTGGAAACAAACTCGCATAATCGTCTACAGGTCTTCGATTCAAATCCCAAATCGGATTGTGAACTTTTTTTGCTTTTGTTTTCTTTTTTTGATAATTTTAATTTATTTTAATATGGATAAAAATAAGAAAAACACATGCTTCGCATGCCCTAACATCATAAAAGATGGACGATGGATAAAGTGTTCTTCCTGTAAACAGACATACGATCTACAATGTGCCAATGTTTCGGACAAGCGGTTTCAACTGATGACAAGCGAGAACAAGAATAAATGGTGTTGTGATTTGTGTCTGTCCAAGCGTCCTAAGGGTGATAACACCAATACTCCTATACGATTGAATGTACGCGAAGATATAAATTCGGACGAGGAGAACAACGTAACCTGCAGAAATAAGCCTAAACGGTGCTCATGCGTCACTATGGATGAAATAAAACAGGTTTTGAAATCTGAACTCCAGGCGTCATTGGATCGTCATTTTGAAATAAACAACAAGCAACTACAGGATATGAAGACCTTGATTGTCGAGTTTCAAGAATCTTTATCATTTTTTAATAAAGATTTAGAAGAACTTAAAGCCGATTTTACTGCACAAAACAATACTATTCTAAGCATACAGAAAGAGAACGAACAATTAAAAACCATCAATGCTGATTTAGAGGGTAGGGTGAGAATGATAGACCAGCAACTTCGTGCAGTCAACTTAGAGATCCATTGTGTTCCGGAGGTTAAACAGGAGAACTTGACTGTCGTAGTTCAGCAACTGGGAAACATCATAAAAAGTCCTGTGGTTGAATCTGGCAAAAATCGATTCGAAGAACACGCGTCCCAGAACTATATTGGTTAAATTTTGTAATCAAAAGCGTCGAGATGAATTTCTAAAATCAGCTTTTGAATTTAATAAGAAGAAGAAAGGCAGCGATCGTTTAAACACCTCTCATCTAGGTATAGCCGGGGGAAAAACGGCGGTTTATGTGTCCTAACACCTGACATATGAGAACAAGCAATTACATGCCGCAGCACGTATCCGTGCGAGGGAACTGGGGTTCAAGTTTATTTGGGTTCGTAATGGAAGAGTGTATGCTAGGAAGACAGAAGAGGCCGACTACATTCACGTGCGTAATATGGACATGGTTAAGAATTTAGCTTAACTTGTTTTGTATCATCACTTCTTGGTGTTTCTCTTATTATAAAGATGGTTAATTATTTAAGTAAAGTGAAGATACATAGATTTAAGTTAGGATTGTTGAATGTTCGGTCTATTAATACTGGTTGGGACGAACTAAGAGACTCTGTTACCAGTAATGATCTCGATATGCTCTGCCTTACTGAAACTTGGCTCAGATGTGACTCGGATACCAGACCACTCACTATTCCAGGTTATACATTTTTTCACGAGCCGCGTCGCAGTAGGGGTGGTGGCGTCGGTGCTTACATTCGATGTGAACTGCATGCTCGAGTTCTTCAGCATCCAGTTGGCGATTTGGAGCAACAATGGCTCAAGTTGAAACTCAAACACAGCACAATAATTGTAGGAATTAGTTATCGACCCGAAGCGATCAGTCGTGGGACTGCTGTTGAATGTTTGAATAATTCTCTAGAGCTGTTTTCTCCACAGTGTGATTTCTTATTTTTGGTGGGAGACCTTAATATCAATTGTTTAGACGAGAATAGTCATATTTATCTGCCTCATTGCCTAGCCAATCTCACTGACCCTTATAAACTTATACAAGTTGTTAATTTGCCGACTCGTATAACGAACAAGTCTGAAAGCCTGATTGATCTAATTTTTTCTCGTGATCAACTGAAACCAATTAATATATCAGTAATACATAACGATGACTTGAGCGACCATGGTATGGTCTTGGCGGAATACCCAATAAAGCCAGAGAAATTTCACCCTAGGTATGTCACTAGTAGACCTATACGAGACAACGCTAAAGTGATATCTGAAGCAGCTATGTATACACCATGGGAATTTGTATCTTTGTATAGCGATGTCAACGATATGGTATTGGTCTTTAATGCCCTCATTATTGATTTGTTTGACACATTTGCACCAATTCGTAAGCGTAAAATTAAAAATCCTCCCTGTCCTTGGTTGACGGAAACTCTTTTGCAAATAAGAAAGACTCGCGATCGTGCTTGTCAAAAGGCAAAGGTATTCAAGTCGGATTCGGCTAAGCAGTTCTATCGGGATCTACGTAATCAGTATAATTGCGCTATTAAACGGGAAAAGCAAGCATATTTTACTCAGTTTGTTAATAACAATAGGAACAAGCCTGCGAGTATGTGGCGCCATCTTAAGAATATCGTTAAGCCTAAACAAGCGAGTGTGATCCCGTTATCCCTTCGTGATCCAGAAACACTAAACAAATATTTTATTGATAGTATACCTGCGCTACCTACAGACGTAGATGAGTTAAATAAGATCAGGTCCAGCAAATGCACTGATCAAGTCTTTAAATTTCAAATTGTTACTGAATCAACAATCGAACATATTATTAATAAAAAATGTACAGAATCGCAGGGAGATGATGGCATTTCGATGTATATGATACAATTGACATTGCCTTATTCGTTGCCCGCTTTGCTGACCATCATAAATAAATCATTACAGGACGGTATTTTTGCCGAGGTTTGGAAATGCGCTTTAATAACTCCAATTCCAAAAAGGTCAAAGATTGAAAACGCTGGTGACCTGAGGCCAATTAATATATTACCAGCCCTATCGAAAATAGTTGAAAAGTGCGTTCAAATTCAAGTTAATGAGTTTATTAATACTGCAAAGATATTACCTCTCTTGCAATCGGGATTTCGCCCTAACCACAGCACCACTACAGCACTGCTTAATATAACTGATGATATATTATCTGCTTCCGATCAGGGGTTAGGTACGGTCTTGGTGTTGCTGGACTTTACTCGCGCATTTGACTGTGTAAATCTGGAACTTTTAATGGCTAAACTAAAGCACTTTGGTTTTGATGATACGGTTTGTAACTGGTTTAGCTCATACTTTTCGGGTCGTTCTCAAAAAGTTCAATGTTTGAAAGACGACGGCAGTTTTGACGTTTCAGAACCTTTAGCTATAACCAAAGGCGTAGTACAGGGCTCTATTTTGGGTCCTACACTCTATTCTCTATACTCAGCCAGTATTACAGAGGTAATTGCTCACTGTCGTTACCACCTCTATGCAGACGATACACAGCTCTATGTTCATACCAGTCCAACGGACATGTTGCCTGCCGTGTCTGGATTAAATAGGGATCTGTGCGCTATAGTAGAGTGGTCTCGGAAGCATTCTTTAGTTCTCAATCCTTCAAAGAGCACGTCAATCACATTTGGTACTCGACAACAAGTAACATCAATGAAGCAAAATGATATGAGTATTTGTATTAATGATGTGCCAATACCACGAGAAGATTGTGTACGTAATCTTGGTCTCTATATGGACGAACATCTCAGATTTGAAAATCATGTTAAACGAAAGGTTGCATTGTGCTTTGGATTATTACAGACTTTATATAAGCTACGTAGCTTTTTATGTAATCCTGTTAAGCAACAATTATGTAATAGTCTAATATTGTCACACTTGCATTATTGCGATATTGTGTATGGCCCTTGCCTTTATAAAAAGACCAAAAATCAAATACAAAGGATCCAGAACACTTGCATGCGATTTTGCTTCCCTATACAGAGTAGAGATCATATCACCCCTCATTTAGTGCAAAATAAAATTTCAGAATATGGGTGGACTCCGGAATTTGAAGTATGCCTGTTTTTTACTGTCATTATTCAAAACAACCTTACCACCATATTTACATAAAAATCTTCAATGGAAGAAACGTCGTTCAAATTTGAGAGACCTTGGGCTTTGCCTATCACTACCAAAATGCAAAAATATTGTAACTAGGGGTTGCTTTGTATATGCCGCATCAAAGATATGGAATGATCTCCCACCACCTTTGCGGACTAACATTTCAATGTCAACATATAATTTTAAAAATAAATATAAATTGTGGTTTTTACATAAACAGTATACTGCGGCCAAAACTGTATTTAATTTAGATATTTAATAATAGTTGTATTAATATTTTTTAATCGATTTTCAAAGTTTTACTTGTTGGTATCACAAAATGGAGCATGTTTTAGTTAAATAAGGTTGTGGCAGAATATCAGCGACTTCCGATAAAACGGCGGTTTAAGGCTGAGTCACATTCCCTTTTTGTTCCCAAAAAGTTGATATGTTAGATTTTAAGTTTTTGTATTTGTAATTATGTATTTTTGGAGCAAATAAATACTTATTATTATTATTATTATCATATTTCTCAAACGTAGGACTCCTATAAAGGAAGGTTTTTGCAATATTTTATTGCAAATGGCATCGATCAACAATCGGGTCCCATAGGAAGAGAAAGAAAAGCGATCCTTTTCAGCGCACTCACCGAGGTTACCTACAAGCTAGTGGTCGACTTATCCTTACCCAAGGCCATAGGAAATGTTCCGTTCGAAGACATTACTCTCACCTCTGCGGAGAAACGGTACGCACAAATCCAAAAAGAAGACACAGCCATTATTTACGGGGTGAGGCGATTCCACTAATACTTATATGGTAGGTCTGAACCACAGATTATATCTTGCACACAGATCATAAACCTTTAATGTCTATCTTCGGTCCACGTAAAAGGGGAGAGTCTGTGCGGAAAGAGAATGGGATTTAGTTTGGGGGGCGCTGTAGTGTTTTTCTATCGTATTTGTAAGGTTTCACCCCTTTTAGACATGATTAAATACAAAAAACCGCAAGAAATCACAACAACAAACAAATCCTTAACAATACAAAACTTTGACGTTTTACATATTGCTGGGTTTGATTGTCAAATAAAAATCTTAGTGTTAGTTCCGTTTTTCGCTACGCCCATTCACTTTCCGCACATACTCTACCGGAGTTGTCTGCAAATTGGTTGCAGCGCTACGTAATTTTCCTAACTAGTTATGACTATGTAATTGAGTCTTAGATTAAAACAAAGAGGGGAGATACGGTACGCTCATGATTCTCAAAAAAATGTGATTTTCCACCAGCCTCCGAAACCTGTGTTGGAGTACAAAGAGGTGGTGAACGCGACAGAGGACGGGCCCTCGTGTCCAAAGCCCTCGAGGCCCAATTACGCCGTGGATGAAGACTGCCTTATTATCAATGTGTACACACCCACCAGCAACAGGTAAATTGATATAATGCTTTAAACTTTCATGGTCATTAATGGAAATAGGTATAATGCCTGTTGCTTCACAATCTTAGATTAAGTTTTAATCTAAGTTCACAATAACTTTACAATTGCATTTTGTTTATACGTCAGAACATTAATTTATATATGAGGTTAAACGACGTACATAATTTCAATACTAGAAATAAAGATACACTTAAATTGGCACTATTTAGACAGCAAAAGGTTCTTGGTTCATTTGTGGGTCAAGGTACTTACTTACACTTGGTTACTACAATAAAATTCTGGAATAATGAGTAATAATTGAGTTACCGTATAATAAGTTTAAAATGTACACACATCAAAAAAAGTTTGCGATTACTTTGAAAAATAGATTGTTTTTTGTGTTACGCAAGACTTTTTGTAATTTCTTTTTTTGATAAGATTCTAAATTTTAAAATTAGAATTAGAATGTAAAACAATAAAATAATTCAATTTCTTTACCATATAAAAATAAGACACTCATTCAGTAATCTGACTTCGTTAATATTATCGAATTTAAAATATTTTTTGTGATTAAAAAAATGCCACGAGGATTATCAGATGTTTTACGAGTCAGAATTGTAAATTTGACGGAAGAAGGCTATTCCACGAGAGAAATAGCACGCAGAGTTATCTCAATCCTGTGTAGTAACCACGTTGCAGAGGTACCACGGCATGGGTAATTTAGCTGATCGACCCCGCAGCGGTCGCCCAACTGTTTTGACAGCTGCTCAGAAGCGCTACATCAGGTTGCTGGTAGCCCGCGACCCAACAATAAACGCCACTAAATTAAAAGCAGAAATACGGACCATCTATTACTTATAATAAATCTGTAGAGAGGTCATTTCTGTACATGAAATATGTTTTCAAAATAACTATCAGGGGGTGATTAGTGATCGATACTGATGCCAAAAATGCAATCAGTTAAATTTTTGTCTGTCTGTCTGTCTGTGTGTATGTTCCTTATAGAAACAAAAACTGCTCGACGGATTTTAACGAACCTTGGTACAATTATTCTTCATACTCCTGGGCAGGTTATAGTATACTTTTCATCACGCTACAATCAATAGCAGCAGAGTAGTGAAGGGAAATGTTGGGAAAACGGGAGACGTTACTCCATTTTTTAAGCTTCCGTCGCGTGTGCAGCCTTAATGGTTAAAGTTACATAGAAATCATGTATGACGGAAATATTCTACATAAAATTGTCTAAAAAATATCCCGCAACAGCATATGTCTATCTTTTATGGTTGACTCACAATAACACGTGTAATTATATAAATAAAGTCATTGTTTATAGCACAAGCCTGAGAACAAAAACTATAGTTTACACTACAGCTCTACACGGAAGCGAAGCGAGGGCGGGCCACTAGTTAATTAATAAATGAGCAGAGCTATATATCAGACAGATTAAGACCAGGACTTGGATTTATTTTTCTAATATGAGACAGAATAATATTTCCGGTGGTACTTACGGCTTATGCCTATATATTTTCTATTATAATAATTTATTTATTCATTGATATGATGTTATGATTTGTGTCGACGAACTGTCCAAATTTAAATAAATTCAGATCTTCAGATTTTTCATATTCCACGCGTCTGGTTAGTCCTCTATACGGTGGAGGTTACTTTCCCAGCATCTGGAAATCCCTGTCTTTTTTAAAGCTGTTATGAATTGTTTAGTTCATCGTCCCTGCCTGTGATATTCTTCATCCACCCGGGCGGGTTCTACACGATGTCTGGCCGCAGCGACCTGGCCGGGCCGCACTATCTGCTGGACCAGGACCTTGTGCTCGTCACCATCAACTACCGCCTCGGGTCACTTGGTGAGTATCATAATCATAATCAAAATCATTGAATTTGTGCTGTTACAAGCACTCATTAATGTTTAGAAGCTACGCTATGGGTGCGTAAATCTACGACGAGAGACCTTGTACTGCGAAGAACCGGCAAAAAACTCAGCAAGGGCTGTTTTTTTTTCTCTGCATTGTTATTATTATTAACAGAATCGTCAAGTTGAAAAATGACTTCTAAGGAGGATTCATGAATTCATCTTTCATTACATAATGTGATAGTTATGTCAACAAAATAACATCTTCAATATCAAAAAAGTTAGAGTAGACTTATCCGCTGGCAGCACCCGTTCACGAGTATGACGCATGGACCAGCCATCGCTTTGCTCAACAATATTTTAGGTAACGTAACGACCCGCCTCCATCCTTGTCTCAGTGATCATCTCCATCAGACTCGCTCCACTCTGTGAGTGGGTGTTGACTCAAGGTTCATCTTCATCAATCCGCTGCCTGTGGTGTATACATCCACTCTATTCTATTCATGTAGAATAGAATACAGTGGATGTATGAGACAGATAGGACGCAGCGACTTGACCCGCCCACACTACCTGCTTGACCGTCACCATCTGCTACCAGTTCCTACAATGACTTTGAGCATGACTGGTCTGAGGTGATGTACGAGTTCACTCCTCAGGTAGTTCTAGTCTATGAGAGGGGGCATAATAATCTTTAAGTGAAACTACTGGCATGATTAGCCAGGTCGCCTATCAACTATCTCTGTGTCAAGTTTGATTTTCAATCAATAAATTTAATTTCCTTTTTTAAAGGCTTTCTTAGCACAGGCGATAAACTAGCGCCCGGCAACAACGGTTTTCGCGATCAGGTAGCTGCTCTTCAGTGGGTTCAAAGAAATATTCATGCGTTCGGCGGAGATCCGAACCTGGTCACTATCGCCGGATGCAGCGCCGGGTCTAGAAGCGTCATGCTCCATATGGTCTCTCCTATGTCCAAAGGTGAGTTTTTTTATGCCAAAATGGTGACAATCAAGCATAATGTCCTGTTTGATGGTAGCGGCCGAGTATCATTTTCACCATTGTCTACACTTGCCCTATCCCATCTCCTAGCCCGTGTAGTGTTATTTGAAGATGGAACAGTTTCTGGCTCTTTTTTCTTGTTTCTCTCAATCCTTAAGCTTATTTTGAGGTTAGGCTGATTGGTGTGCATAAAATGTCTTTATAAATTTATCAATATCAGGGTTATTCCACCGCGGTATTTCTATGAGCGGATCTTCCATGAGTCAGGACCCGTTGCCTGATAATCTCTACGATCTGGCCGTGAAGCAGGCGCGTCTGGTGGGATGCCCCGCAGATAACTCCACTGTAATCGTGGAATGTTTGAAGACTAAGCCTTGGAGGGAGCTCGGAGGCTCGCTCCGTGGATTCCGGGTAAGTTATTGTATAAAAACAAATACAATTTACCGTTACCAGACCATATCTTTGATATAGCTGTGAAGTCATCAGAATGTTTGAAGAAAAGTCCTGGAGGGAACTGAAAGACTCTCTTTATGGTTATCAGGTATGTGATTTTTCAAAGATAAAAGCTGAGAGTAATTGTTGATCAACTTGTAAAAAAAACTTTAAGCAAATATCCTGTAGTTTCTGATCCTAATGTATTCCACAGCTCTTCGCTGCTTCTGAAGACAAGTTAAGCTGTTGGTCCAGGCTGCATCTGCAGTTGTTAGCAATAGCACCCATTGATAGTATCAGCGTGGTAGGTCATCATGACACTTTCTTCGTGTTACATCCATAGATAAGGTGTGTGCCTCAGCACTTTGGACATGAATAGGTTGAGGATGCATCCCATGTGTTTTTTTCTGGACTTTTTTATAATTTCCAATTAATTTATATACTTAGGTTGATAATTAACAGAGATTAATTGGATAGGTGAATAGGTGACCAAAAATTCTTACGCTATTCCATGCTTCGAAAAGCACGTTTAGCCGTTGGTCCCAACTGCATCTGCAGTCGTTAACACCCACCAATCTGCACTGGGCCCGCGTGGTGGAGCATGTCCCAATCTCCCAATTCCATGATAGGAAAGGCCTGTGCCCCTATGATGGGGACTTTATTAGGCGGATGTTGAGGTTAATAAATGATTTCTTTCTCGATAGGAATCGTCGTTATTTCTATACTATGAATATAGGCCAATAACTGATTCCCTTCTTTCTTCCTCCCCTGATATCCTCAGGAGTGGGGCTTCGACCCGGTGCGTATCTGGTCTCCAGTAGTAGAACGAGATCTAGGTCACCAGCGCTTCCTGACGGAACAACCTGCTGATACACTACGCCGCAACGCCGCGCACACCACGCCGCATCTTATCAGCCAGACTACTGACGAGTTCTTCTGGAGCGCTTACAGTTCGTATACTTACCATAATTATTTTTTATCATTACTTGGCTGACCTGTTCCATATTAGGAAGTTGAACTAATAAACAAGATAGAAAGGAAGAAAAGAGAAAAAGTTTATTCATCATCATCATATCAGCCGTACGAGCATAAACCTCCCCAAAAGATTTTCACACCGATCGGTCCTGCACCACTCGCATTCACCGGCTTCCACAATCTTCACAAGATCGTTGGTTCCCCTTGTAGGAGGCCTGCCCACTGAGCGTCGTCCGGTTTTATACAGACGTTACACAGACACAAAAACGTTACACAGCCACACAAACGTTTATTACACAGAATTATTATTGTCGATGTAGGTACTACCTATCAATTTTAGAGGAGCTCTATAAATGTTCATAGAACGATTAATGAGAAATGCGTGAAACCTCATCATAATTAAGTTTTTTTTAACCATTTAACTGCTAGATGTTTAAATCTAAAGAAAAGTTTTAATAGAAAAAAAAACACTCGGACCAGGCAGCAGACGGGACTCGTACCCGCACCCTTCGCAATCCGGGCGAATGCACTGACCAATTAAATAAAAACATAACTATAAATGCTAGTTCTTCTTTCAAATGTTTAATACTTGTAAAAGTATTCATTTGACATTGTGGGTTACCTACAATGCGAAGAGATGGCGCTGCCTTGCAACTTAAGGATAGGAAAATTTCGACGCGGCCATCAGGGCTGTGGTAGCATAATTTCATCATAATATTATCATTTCCAGACGTAATCAGGAATGAGAGTCTCCTAAACGACATGAACGCGAATTGGGAGCGTATAGCACCAATCAGCTTCCAGCTTCCCGCGGAGAACTCGTCCATGGTGGTCGCCAAGTTGAAGGAGGTGTATTTGAACAACAAACCTCTGAAGGCAGACGAGGAGAGCGCAAGGGCTCTGGGGAAAATATACGGAGACGCGATTTCAGGATTTCCGACGCACAGGTATACACTTTCGGAGGAGCTTGATGGCGCTAATGGTTAGCGCGTTCGGCTGCGATCGTTGAAGTTAAACAGCGGTCATTGGATGGGTGATCAAAAATTTACTAAAGCAGTTGGTCTCGGCTGCATTTGCAGTCGTTAGCGCCCACCAATCCGCACTGGGCCCAGTGGTGGGTCACGGACCAATCTCAATATTCCATCCATAGGAAGGCCTGTGCCCCAACAGTGGGGGCATTAATAGGCTATGACGATGAGCTTTTTTAACTAGTTTTGGCAATTTGAAATTTCTAAGTATTCAAAGCCATGCTGATAAACATTTTCGAATTCTGTGCACGGTATAAATATTGTTACTTTATATTATTGATCCATACTTTTGCTGGGTAATGGGGAACAAAATCCTAATGGCGATAGCTCATTACAGCTGATGGCCATTACTTTATTATTATATTTACATTCGCCAGGCCCATTACAAACACACTGTTGACGTGTTTGGCTAAAGCTCCGTTGCCGAAATTGTTTTTTATTGTATTTGTTTAAGTTTCGACTCAAAAGTTATATTTATTTATCACGGGAAGTTCTACGTCTCAAATGATATAACAGACATACTTAGGCAGTTGATTTCAAGTTTAAAGTGAAGAAGAAGATCTGGTGAAATTGCATTGTTCTTAGTGTCGATCGTTTGTTGACATTCTACTACCTACTTTAAGTAAAAATAAGTCTCCGAGCAATAAGATCCTTATATTTGAACACGTGAACATTAACCGGTTGGTGTGACGCTCTGCACCTTAGCTTAGCGTTTCTGTGGGTCCCGAGTTCAAATCACAGTCACCGAATTTCGTTTTCTACACTTTTAATTATTTTTTCTTGTGCATATGTTAATTTTGTTTACCATTATATTTTTTTTTTGTTTCTTCTTTTTTTTTAATACATATTTCCTATACAAGTTTTTTTGAATTACCCGAAAAGATAATTTCATTAAATTTTCGACGATGTCTCCTGGGAAGCTTTCTTGTGCTGGCTGCTTACAAAAAATAAAATGTAAACAACTTCTACGATGTTGCGTATGCTTAAATCACTATGATCTTTTGTGTGCCAATGTGTCTGAACAACGCTTCCGTCATACCCTGATTGGTGAACATCGGTTGAAATGGAAGTGTGAGGCTTGTAAGAGTAAGGAACCCAAGAAAGACAACAGCAACACTCCCGTGCGTGCAGATCATGATGACAGGGTCGCGCATCGTCGGGGCGCAGCCATTCATAGTCCCCCTGACGACGCTGATATGGTTCATGGATTAAACACACAAGAAATTAGGTCTTTAAAGGAAGAATTGTTACTTTTTCGCCAAGAAATGATAACTACACGACAGCGGGTCGATGAATTTAATGCGAATTTGACCAATCTTATAAATAGAGTTGAAAATTGCGAGCTGAGGGTGGAACAGCTATGCGTTCGTATGGATGCACTGGAGGGTAAATTGAAAGATGTGCATAAAGGTGACAGGGATATAACAATAGAAATGTTGAAGGCTGAATTGAATGATCGAGACCAAGAATTGTTACTTAATGACATCGAGATCACGGGAGTCTCAGAACAGAAAGGGGAGAATCTACAGCATATCGTCTTAGCATTGGCTAGTAAATTGAGTGTGAAGCTAGATCAGCAGGACATTGTGAGTGCCTCGCGGGTAGGCCGTGTTATGCGGGCGGAGGCAGATGGGGACTCATCCCGCCCGCGCCCTATTGTTGTGCGGCTTGTGAGGCACGCGAATAGGGATGATCTGCTAAGGGCGGCACGTGTGCGACGTAATGCAGACACTGAAGGCATCGGGCTGCCGGGCTCTCCGCGTCGCTTTTATCTCAACGAGCGGTTAACTAAAATAAATCGTTTCCTTTTCCGCCAAGCACGACAAGCTAAGGAGCGTTTGAACTGGCGCTTCGTGTGGACTAGAGATGGCAAGATTTTCGCACGACAGCATTCTACGCCTGGCTCTCCACTCTATCGCTTACGTACAAATGATGACCTCATTAGGGTTTTTGGTCAAGAAGCCATTAGTTGTTCTTAAATCGATTAAAATAGTTTGTTTTCTTTGGTATATTGATCAAATTTTAATGTACTTGCAATTTTACTTTTTAATACTGTCCTTAAAGTGTTTGTTATTTTTAATTGTACATTTTATAACAAAATTCTATAGTTCTACCTTTTTAGTGTTAACTTTTTTATATTATGTAATATTGGCCATGTCTTGTTTTGCTTTTTTAATTGATCGTATGTGTGCTGCAGAGATGGGATTGGATTGGGACGGTCCTGCGCTGGGGTGGAGCATTGCACAGCTTTTGCTTTATATCCTATACAAAACATTAAATTTTACGTATATCTGTTTATATTACTATTCATTTATATATATTTATCACATTGCTATTTACATTTATTACTTTGCTATGATTAAAATACAATGCTTTATTTTGACGCTTCACCGCTTTTATAAGCTTAAGTGTAGTTCCGCCTACTTTACCGCTATTTGCCTGTTTTTTAGCTTATTGAACGTTTTTATCCTTTCTTATAAAAACATTTATTGCTTAGTAGTTATTCATATAATTATATCGCAATGACCACTCATACACAATACTTTAGCTTGGGCTTATATAATGCTGGTTCTCTTGGTACTGGTCACGATAATTTTAAAATCGCTATGTTACGCCATAAAGCTGATATTGTGGCGATAAATGAAACTTGGTTGCCAATCGGGCAGGAGGCGCGTGCGCCGGCTGTGCCAGGTTATCGATTGCGCTGCACTCCTCGACCTATCCATATGCGTGGTGGGCGAGGTGGTGGAGTGGGCTTCTATATTAAGCAGGGCGTACGTGTTAATTACGAAAAGTATCCGGACGCTGATATCGAACAAATGTGGATTTCTACGAAAGTTAAGGGATATCGCATCGCCATTGGAACAGCTTACCGGCCTCAGTGGGTGGATGTAGATACTTTCATTGATGCCTTGACTGAGTCCGTAACCTACTTCGGTAAATATGATTTCGTGGTACTTTTAGGGGACTTCAACATAAATATGAACAATCATTCTAATGGTAATACTATAAAATTACTAAATTTTTTACATTATATGGACCTAAAACAGGTTGTTACCGATCCTACCCATTTTACAGCCGATACCAGCTCATTAATTGATATAGTCTGCACGAATGCTCATGTTAAAGAAGTATGTGTATCGGAAGTTTCTGGTACGATAGGTCACTCAATGGTGAATATTATTCTTTCTATAAAAAAGAAAAAAATGCCCAATAAATATGTTTCTTTTCGGCCCCTCAAAGACATTGATATGAACCAGTTTAATCTAGACGTGAGCGCTGTCGATTGGCAGTCTGTTTCGTCTAGATCCACGGTGGATGGCATGGTTGCCCATTTTCAGCGTTTACTATTTGAGCTCTACGACAAACATGCCCCGACTAAATTAGTTCGAGTAAAGCAGAACCACACTTTGCCCTGGGTGACAGATACAATCAGAGACATGATCAAGTTGCGTAATCAGGCTCTAGCTAAGTATCGCTGTTCTAGATTGGAGGTGGATAAGAGACAGTGGAAGGACCTCGGTAAATTAGTGGAGACTGCAATTCAAAATGAAAAACGGGCGTATTTCAATTACTATATTAATTCGCAGACTGGCAATAGCAAAACTATGTGGAATAATTTAAAGACCAAAATTTTGATTGATCCCTGTTCCAGTGGTCACTTGCCGAGTACATTTGATGATGCTAATGCAATTAATCTAAATTTTCTAAATTTACCTGCTTGTGATGGCGTACCACTTAATTTAATCTCTTTCTACCAAAACAACCGTTACACGGATTCAGAATTCTGTTTACGTCCAGTGAGTCAAAAAGAAGTTGGCGAAGCTATTATGACACTTAAGTCCAACGCGACAGGTAGTGACGGGCTGAGTAGGGATATGGTCTTATTGACTCTTCCTACTGCACTTTCAGCTCTTACGGACATTATAAACAGATCTCTCTCGACTGGATCTTTTCCTACTCAATGGAAGGATGCCTGGCTTACTCCTATCCCCAAGGTTAAACACCCGGAAACTCTAGCGGACCTTAGGCCTATTAGCATTCTGCCTTTTCTTTCGAAAATCCTGGAAAAGGTTGTTTATTTACAACTAATTAAATTTGTCGAAACAGGCAACATTTTGCCATCACTGCAATCCGGATTTCGTAAGGGCAGAAGTACCGCAACTGCTCTTCTAGATGTGGTCGACAATATACTCACGGAACAGGATGCTGGCCATGGCACAATACTCACCTTGTTAGACTTTTCTCGCGCCTTCGATTGCATAAATACGCAACTGCTACTGTCGAAACTTAAATATTACGGTTTATCACCACTCGCTGTCAAATGGTTCCACAGTTATCTCTCCGATCGGCGTCAGACGGTCAAACTAGTGAATGAGAATGGAAAATTTTCGTTTTCGAGTTCTGAGCCCGTTACGCGTGGAGTACCACAAGGCTCTATTCTTGGACCGCTGCTATTTATTATCTATTGTGCTGATCTCATCCACCAGATACACCATTGCAATTACCACTGTTACGCGGACGATATTCAACTTTATATTTCTGCTCGGCCTGAGAACATCCATGAGGCTGTTAAATTAATGAACCTCGATCTCGACGCAGTTGCAGATTGGGCCGAGCAGAATCATTTGAATCTCAACCATGCTAAATCTAAGTTTATGGTGATCGGTTCCAAAGCACAAGTACATAAAATTCACTTATTGAATCCTCAAGTTTCCATCTCAGGTAAAGTTCTCGAGCACGTTGTTGAGGCTCGAAATCTAGGTATCACTTTTGATGGTGAGCTGCGCTTCGAGTCGCATGCGTTGGAGCTGGTAAAAACTTGTATGTTTCGTTTGAGGGTGCTGTATAAGATTCGTAACTTGCTTTGCGAGGGCGTCCGGGTTACTCTATGTGAATCCCTAATACTCTCCAAATTGAATTATGGTGACGTAGTTATTGGACCGCGATTGCTTGCGAGAACTCAGCGTATGGTACAACGCGTTCAGAACGCTTGTTACAGATTCTGCTTCAATGTCCCTCCGCGTAATCATATCTCTCCTTATTTAAATTCTGCATCTATACTTAACATGGAATCTCGCAGGCAGGTGCATCTCGCGTCTCTTGTGTTTGACATAATAAAGTATAAAACTCCGGAATACTTATTCAATAAACTTAAATTCTCGTCATACCAAGAGAATGCCCGAGTTACCCGTAAGCCTCTGGAGAGCACTATTCACAGAACTACGGCTTTCCGTGGCAGCTTCCGCTTCCAGGCTACCAAATGTTGGAACGATTTGCCTCCACCTATGAGAAAACTGGCTTCCAAAGTCACTTTTAAAAAGCAGATAAAAATATACTTTTTAGAAATCCAAAAATTAGACATCCCCAAGTTTTATGTGTGGCAGGGCAGGTAGCCTTGTTTTCCAAACAGTTTCCGGATACTACTTTTGTATATACTTTAAATAAATCATGTGTAATTATAGTTATTATATATATGTATGATATCATCTAATTTTATCTCGCCAACAATCACTTCATTATTTGTCTCTATAGTAAATATGTGTTTGTCTCCACTGCATTGTCATGGCTGTTTTCTCTTTTCTCCTTGCAAAATCTTTTAATATTTATTATTAATAAAGCTAGTCTACTCACTCATAAAGGTGATGGCTGAAAATCGGTATTTTGCCTTAAAACTGGCAAATGTTTAGCCGAGCCTTGGCCTTTTGCTTTCTGCAGCATACATATAGATATTTCATAACTGATTTCTTGTTTCTTTTTTTATTGTATTACTCTGTCTGTAAATGTATATGTATGTTGAAGAAAAAATAAACGCATTATCTATCTATCTATCTATCTACAAACAATCAGTCACTCTGAGCTGGTTTGGTACTGTTTTTCGTGCAAAGTTGTGTTTTATCCGTGGAAATCCAATCATTAAATCACTTAATGGAACACTGTCCTTCATTTTAATAACCAAAGATTTAAATACGTAAATATTTTCAATTATGCAAACACTAACAAACAACCAACAAATCCACATGATTTCAATCAAATTGTATGTAAAGAAATTACAATAGAAACCTATAATATCAACAATCTTAAGAAAATTAATCAAGACGTAAAATAAATTAATCTCGGGGCTCGATGGCGCAAGTGGTTAGCGCGTTCCGCAGCGATCGTTGAATTTAAGCAACTTTCGCAGTGGTCGGTCATTGGATGGGTGACCATAATTTACTATCTCGAGCTCCTCCGTGTTTCGGAAGGCACGTTAAGCCGTTGGTCCCGGCTGCATCTGCAGTCGTTAGCACCCACCAACCCGCACTGGGCCCGCGTGGTGGGTCATGGCCCAATCTCCCTATTCCATCCATAGGGAAGCCTGTGCCCCAGCAGTGGGGACATTAATAGGCTGATGATGACGTAAAATAAATTAATCAATAAATCATAAATAAAAAATTAAAGCCTACAAAAATCAAAAGACAAAACTGCTTGTTTCTTAACAAGAAACAAAAAAAAGAAAAAAAAAATGTGCTTATCGTTGTTAATCGTCACTATCAGCCTTTTGATGTCTGGGGACAGACCTTCCATAAGGATGGAAGAGGGATATTGTATGTACGTGAGTGCGGATCGGAGGGTGCTAACGACTGCAGATGCTGTCGGAACCTTAGATTAAAACAAAAAGGGTAGATACGGCACTAGCCTCACAAAAGTGATCCGCACCAATTGTGGTCCACGACCCTAATCGCTTTAGTCACAACTTGACATGCAAACGACGAACATGTAAACGCCAGAAAGAAATATTTCTAATATTTTGTGTTTATATGATAAAACAATGCCTAAGTGTGTTTTTAAAATGTGCTCAAATTGCTCAAGATCTAAAAATTTAACCCACGGCATCACTTTTCATTCGTAAGTACTATATAATATATTTTTTCATAAAAATTGCTGTTTGTTTTGAATCTTATTCGGTAGTGACGTCGAGTACTGGTCGCGTGATTGGTCGGTAGTGCAGTGACGCGGATCTCGCCGTCCCGTTCTCGCTGCCGTGGGATTAGTTTTTGTTTGATGCAAGTATGAGCGTACCGTATCTACCCTTTTTGTTTTAATCTAAGGTCGGGACCAACGTCTTATCGTGAAGCAAGAATTATCGATAGAACATATTTTCTGTTACCCATTCAATGACCGGCTATTACGAAAGTTGCATAACTTTCACGATCGCAGACTGAACGTGCAACTCAGATGACAGCTTAATTAGACTACTAAATATGTAAATTATTAATTCCCATTATTAGGATGGCGAATCTAATGTGCCGCCATTCCCCTCACAAGGTGTTCTACTATGAGTTTGCTTATATCGGCAACCACAGTCACTATGAGGATCCTGTCACTGGGAAACCAAAAGGTTAGTATGAATATTACGATGTTATAGAAACTGTTACTGCCACCTTGAAATATAATAAATTATAAATAATTGTGGCGGTGAGGCCTCTGGAGGCCTCTGGACCTCCAGAGGCCTCGGGGCATCAGAGGAGCGGAGGCCCCCTCACCCCAAATTATTTTCCAAATAAAGTAAACAATTTTTTTTTAATAAATAATTTATTGTGAACCAAGTAGATTCCCTTAGTATTGAACAAACACATATAAATATAAACGGAAACAAGAATTATCTGAAATTAAATCTTAGAGTTAACGAACGGAACCGAAAAGATGTTTACTAGTGTTTACTAGTTGGAATTTGAAAGATTTTTTTTCCGACGTCTCTATTGTGGGGGATTAACGGGGGGCCCGTTTGTGGAGGCCCCAGGGCTTTCGCCCCGGTTGCCCTCCCCTAAATCCGGCAGTGCGCCTCACATATAACCAACACGGAGGAAGTAATTACTCGCCTCCTCAAGAGATGGCGCTACCGGTGCTGCATTCATAAAGTATGAAAGCCTACATCACGCAAGTGAAATTGGGATTCTAACTTTTGATTAATGCAATGCTCGACTAACATCACTCGTGCCGCGGCCCCCGAGCTAACTTCACCCTGCTCGGAGATCTTTTCCTTTGGACTTCCTACAACTTTACTTTACTTATGGCGCAATTACATTTGGTCGTAAGCCCATATTCGGGTGCAGAAAAAAGGACATTACTCAAATTCGGGCTGGAAGACGTGTCGGGTATACAAAAGGAAAATCTTCCCGAAAACGGGCGTACTCGACTCCGTTTACATTTTCTTCATGTCCGTTCTTCCGTTTTCATTACTTCCGTTTTACATTTATCGTTTACCCGAATTCCGTTGGCAATTGCATTCCGGCTTACGACCAAGTTTAATCGCGCCATTACTTGATGATTTCACTTTTCTATTGTCCAGGTGTAGCGCACCACGACGACATGATCTACCTGTTCTCGCTGAGCTACCGGTTCCCCTTCATCACTGCAGATGATGAGAACCCTGACTCCAGGATGGTGGACTTCATGACTCACATGTGGTACAACTTCGCCAAGAACGGGTAATTATTCTTCAGTATTTAGTATTTGTTTTACCATTTGGGCGTTTTATTAGTAACGTAGACCTTCTATTTCTATTTATATGCCTCGATATTCGATGGCAATTGGCTGGGAATGCTGCAGTTTTGGAAGATCTGAATTAAATCTTTTTTCTCTCATCACCAACAATAAAATCCTTTGTAGGTTGTTAACAGGGCAGTCTTAAATAAGATGTTGTAGAGATTCAACATCATTTGTTTTACAGTAACGGCTTCCATTTGAGTCTTTTAATTTTATTCTGTGTATATTAGGTATTTAAAACAACTAGTCATGTGCCGTCCATTAGAAGTAGAACACAGGAAAATGGAAAATAGTAACTACAAACATAATCAGGATTTGTACAATGTTTCCGCTGTTCTTGAAAGTATAGAAAATATTTCCACAAATAAAAAAATGGGTGCGTGTACTTATGTAGGCGCGTGAGAAGTTATCCTTCTTTGGCATCGTTTAAAATTAGTTTTTAATTGCATGCAAATAATTAATTACAATAAATTAATAAAAAGTCTGGAAAAGGAATAAGAAAGTCAATAAAGTTCAGTTTTAATTTGAAAAAATAAATAAATAATCAAAATATTCAATTAAAATCGCTACTGAATATAATTTATTAGAACATATGTGATTTGCACTTGTATGAAACAAAAACATTTATTCCGAATATACAAACTAGAAACATGTGGATAAATATTATAAATATGAATACCTATAACTGTTACTTTATTACAAAAAATAAAGATGTGGTTTTTGGTTCTACTACACCAATGGTCAAGAGATGGCGCTGTAGTCTCCTGAATCGCGCTTTGGTTCCGTTGTTCCAGATTAATAAATACTTTTGATAAGCCTTCACAATGCAGTCGTTAGCACCCACTAAATAGAGATTCTATTTCTATTTTGTTGGTAGATTTCTTAATGTGCGGTAAACACAAAAGTAACGAACATGCTGTTTAAATTTTGTGTTACAGTGATGCGCGCGCATCTTAAAATTTCACTCTCATCATTTTTTCATAACGCGCCTAAAGAAGTATAACTTCAAAAAAGAAATAACTTTCAATAATTACACGACAGCTCAATTAGGCATTCAATTTTAACTTTGTTCTTGAATTCCAGTCCATTGATACTTAATATCAACTCCGCCATAATAAGTTCCACCATATAATAATAGTTCCATTGTGGCTACTGTTTACCGTCAAAGATTCCTAGTCATCCATCCCATTGAAATGAAAAAATGTATGTACCTATGTAAGTTTTGTTTTATCGTCAGTTTAACCTGTATCTTTCCAGAGACCCAAATCCCCTAGACGGTGGTATACCGTCGTGGCCCGCGATGTCCCCGCAGAGACGTCACTTTCTAAGGATAGAATCACCTCCCACATTGCACGAGAACATGTTCGAAGAGCGTTTTAGTGTATGGGATGAGCTTTACCCGATCAAATACTGATCATAAAAAAATAGTCTTAGTATAAAGTATTAGTTAGTGTCAATTAGTAGTGATTTTTGCTATTTACGGGAGTATTACCATGTACCTTGTTTTTAGCGAGTTTCCGATATTAAATTTCGCCACATCACACTAACATGTAACATTACTCCGTGATCATGGCGCTTGCAACTTGCATGGTACATGATAACGATCCAATAACATAAATAACTATAATGTTAGTGACCATAAAAGGTTAAAACAATATACTGTCAATTAGTTCTTAAGTTTTATTTAATAATTATAATGTTATCTTCTTTGCCATAGTTTTAGTTAAGAAGAAACATCCCTTAACCAATATTTGAAATAATTTGACGTTTCTCAGAATGTAACTTGATTTATTTTTTTTACATTGCATTATTTACACAAAATTTTTGTTAATTTATTAGCTGCTAATAAAATATTTTAATATGAATAAAATTTGTTTGATTTAATATTACTTTCTCTAAATCTGACAGCATCCCGCCCGTTACCACAGAAAACTACCGCTGTATCACCTACATATAACAGGTACTGGGCATTTTGGATGTTGATGTTACAAACATAGGTCATTTAGGCAAATGAGGAATAGCGTAGGTCCCAGAACACTTCCCTAAGGAACGCCTTAAGTCGAACCCGACTCCCCACTCACACACTGACCACCCACCTTTACTTTTTGTGGCCTGTTACTCAGATAATCTTCGAAAAGATTTAACGGAATACCCCTAATACCTACTCTTTCTAGTTGGCGATAGAAGTGGTGTCAAATGCATTTTTCATGCCTAAAAGGACCGCTAAACACACGTTTGTTGTCTAGATTATCCGTTAATGCTTTTGTAAGAAACTCGATGGCATCTGCAGTGGATTTACTTACTCTAAAACCATATTGAAAGTCCGATGAGATATTTTATTATAGCTCAACAGACTTGTATTTATAAGCTTTTCTACAATTTTCGAGACAGTGGTTAAAACGGAAATTGGTTTGTAGTTCCTTACATCGTTCCTGTCTTCAACCTTGTATACAAAGGTTTTAGAGCTCCTTCAATTTAGGTGGAAATATAAATTGGGAGAAGCAGAGGTAAGCAAGCACTTTACATTCTTCAGAACAGCGTGAACGTCATCTTTTCAGAATCTAGCAACACGAGAATGTTTTAATGATTCACGTAAAAGGGCATACATTTTTAGTAAACAGTTGGTAAGCAACCAAATAGCCTTAAATAATCTTATTGTCTTTGTAAATGTAGTACCAGCTAAGTCATAAGTTACTGTATTCTATTCAACTTACTTTGAGCCAAAAGGTTAACAAATAAACCAATGTTTCCAAAACTTTTTTATCGTGAGTAAAGATAGCCGGTGTAACCAGATTACATTTCAACGTTAATTATTTGCTTTGTCACTACTCTTCAATTTAGTAGTATTATAATGCGTTCAAAGTTTGTAAGTTCTTTTAATGTTACTTTTTTAAATTATGTTTTTTATGTGTATAGAATTGGATCTATTGAAAAACCTTTTTATCATTTGTTTACCGTTTAAGTTAGAAAAGAAAGAATAGTGTTTATAGCTATATTTCCTTTAAAAGATAAGAAAGCAGGTAAACACAATTACAATTTTCATTCAGCAATACTTACTCGTAAATCATAAGAATGATTGCATTTCAAGAAAACCCAGTACCTACCTACCTAATAGAGTTATGTACGTAATAATGATTACTAATAGTACCTATCGATTTTCCTGTCAGCAACCTGAGGGTGAGTAAGTACTAGTTTACCTCCTCAGATAATCTTAACCAAAATGATTAATATTACTAGCTGTGCCTTGTGGTGTTACCCGCGATTTATTAGGGATATTTCCCGCAGTAAAACGTAACCTATGTGTTAATCCAGGGTGTCAGCTAACTCCATACGAAATTTTATTAAAATCGCTCCAGCCGTTTAGACGTGAAGAAGTAACAAACATACTCTCAAATATTCGCCTTTATAATATAAGTGTGATTATTGGAAATAAGATCTAGATTAAAATGTAAAGGACATAAACTTGTTTTTTACCAAGCTTAACTTCTTTTATACTTACATGGCACAGCAAATTATCCACCCCACATTATAATAAGTGTAAATGGAATCCAATCACCAAGATCATCATCATCATGTCAGCCGTACGACGCCCACTGCTGAGCATAGACCTCCCCCAAGGATCTCCACACCGATCGGTCCTGCGCCACTCGCATCCATGGGCTTCCCGCGACCTTCACAAGATCGTCGGTCCACCTTGTAGGGGGCCTGTCCACTGAGCGTCGTCCGGTGCGTGGTCGCCATTCCAGAACCTTTCCGCCCCATCGGCCATCGGTTCTTCTTGCTACGTGCTCCGCCCACTGCCACTTCAGCAGAGCAATCGTTCGAGCGATATCGGTAACTTTGTGTCTCCTACGGATTTCCTCATTTATGATTCTATCGCGTAGGGAAACACCGAGCATCGCTCTCTCCATTGATCGCTGTGTGACCTTGAGCCTTCTTATGAGACCCGCAGTAAAGAACCACGTCTCGCTTCCGTAGGTCATCACTGGTCAAAGACTTTTGTCTTGAGACACTGAGGTAATTTGGACGCGAATATTTTTCGCAGCTTCCCGAACGCTGCCCATCTGAGCTGGATACGACGAGAGATCTCTTTCTCAAAGTTGGACCTACCTAACTGGGCTGTCTGTCCTAGGTAGACGTCAGTCGACAACTTCGAGTGTAGTGTTCCCAATTTTAACTGGAGCGGGTACTACATAGACACATCACCAAGATAGCTGAAGCAAAGGTGTGATGATCAGAAAAATCTTCCACGTAGGATGGAATAGATGGGAGGATGTGGGATAAGCTTCCTCCCGAGGTCTTTCTATTGGGCTACAACATGGGGTTCTTCAAAAGGCGTGTTGACCAAGTACTTTTACGTCGGCAACGCACGAGTGACCTCTTTGGTGTCGCACATGACCGTTGGGGACGAAAACCACTCCCTACGGAATGGCTCGTCGGCTCGTTTATTACATAAGTATATATTATAAAAAATCATCTGGCTGGCATGAACCCAATCCCTTACCATACCCTTACCCCGTCAAGCTAATATTTTTTAATTGCCGTCAGAAACACTTAACATCTAAAACGATTTAACGCTTCCCGCTAAGTTAAGGCAGAAGGTAGATCTTCAGATCGATCGATCGTCAAAAGTAAGAAAGCACCACAACATTCTTTAATAAGAAAACATATTCATACCTAGTTAAACTGTTTTTTCTGAAACATAGGATTTCTTTTGTTTTCTTTCCGGTAATGATAAGTTTCACAATTGCCTGACGACAAATCACTTTTTACCTAGATTGTGGTTTTCCCTTCAAGCCTTGTCCTATGAGTGTAGGTTCTCTGTGAGACGTCATTTACCTTGCAGAGGTCAATCGAACGAAACGTGATGATGATGAGTAACGTAGCTGTCGATGTGTATTATACCTACTTTTAATATACCGCATAATTTTATCTGTCAAGAGCGAGTTGTAGGTCAAGCTTGGGATTCTATACAACAAAAACTCAGAATGCTGATTTTTGGTGTGATTCCAGTCCTTGCAGTAAAAATGTTATTGATTTTATAGTAATATAAGTTATTTACGGGATTGTTACCATGTACCTTGTTTTTAAGAGAGTTTCCGATATTTTAGCACTGTTGCGAGCGTCATGATCGCGGAGTATATACATTTACCCATGGTAACTGAAAGTTACTCACAGTTAATATCGGAAACTCGCTAAAAACAAGGTACATGGTAACAATCCCTTTAATAACTTCTATTACTATAATGTTAGTGACCGTGAAAGTTTAAAACAAAATAATGTTATTGATTTATTTACCAATAAATGTTTCAACGGGTTTTTCAACGTAATGTGATATTATTTTTATTTTACACCACGTCAAATATTATGGTCCATATTGAGTTGGATACCAAGTTGAACTATGTTTTTATTAAAGCTCCGAGGATTATAAGGGCTAGACAAACCCTATTTCCACTGGTTGTCTTTACCGATTTTATCCATCCTTTTTAAGTTGTAATACTTGTAGACTGTTCGTACGGAAAAAATTAAGATAGTTGTGCTAAATTCCGTGAAGTCGCGGGCGGAAGCTAGTATCTTATATACTAGTGATGTAACGAATGTCATTTTTTGAACATTCGCGAATGCGAATGCGAATGCGAATATTTAGTTTTTTTTTCAAATTGGCGCCAATTGTCTATGGCATGATGGCAGTCTCGTTCGAATTGCTGAGTTGATATGAACTCATCCGACTGAAGTGTCATTCCGCTCGCGCCGGTCTTTCCGTAAACAAAACAAGTGAATTTTGAGGTTAGTTATTGTGAGTGGTAATAGTGATTTATTAACATGAGTAAATCGAATTCTAGTGAAACATGGACTTATTTCACAGTTTGCGATGCTGAACGAGCTAAATGCAAACTGTGTAACAATGAATATTCAAGGAAAGGCAGAACTACAACTCCTTCAAATTGTTTTTTTCTAATATTCATATTCGCAAAACATTCGCAGAGATTTTGCGAATGCGAATGTGAATGCGAATATTCAAAAATATGCGAATATTCGGTACATCACTATTATATACGGTGACATTATTCACCTACGTATCCCTATAAGTTGATCGTATTTAACGGCGGGCAACTGCTCGAGTCGTTCATAATTGATATAAATCTGCCAGTGAGTGTTGAGGAAAATGGTCGGTTTAAGACTCATAGTGTTGTTGTGTACGTTCGCGGTCGTTGTGCAAGCCTGCCGCCAGCACAACGAGAAAAGACCAGCGCGAGATGGTAGGACGAATATTATACTACATCACCATCATCAGCCTATTAATGTCCCCACTGCTGGGGCACAGGCCTTCCCTAAGGATGGAATAGGGAGATTAGGCCATGTCCCACCACGCGGGCCAGTGCGGGTTGGTGGGTGCTGACGACTGCAGATGCAGCCGGGACCAACGGCTTAGCGTGCCTTCCGAAGCACGGAAGCAGCTCAAGACAGAAGATTTTTGGTCACCCATCCAATGACCGACCACTGTGAAAGTTGCTTAACTTCAACGATCGCAGCCGAACGCGCTAACCACCTGCGCCATCGAGCTCCTCATCAATCCGCGAACGGATTAGTGTGTGGTAACTATTGCGGATACAATCGGAGTTGTTATCGCCAAAATCTGATAAAGTTATTTTCGGCGTTTTTTCTATTTTTTGCATAGTTTAGATCGAGAAACAAGTCTGCAAAAAATGAGAACTACCGGATTCGACGCAAACTATTCTGTTCTTTCAAACGACAATTTTACTGGATAGTGACTTAGCATCTGACAGCTGAAGTTAAATAAACCAACTATCGCCTAAAAGTATTACTTACAACTTGTTCAAAATTGATAAACTTAAATTCGAAGAAGTTGTAATTAATACTTTTAAGTAATTGATCCTGTAAATTTAAATTACACATACTGTCATCAGCATCTCTCGCAAGTTTGGTAGAGTAGCAAAGATACGGTATTATAATATACAGTTTATATAAAGTATAAACACAAGACAGATAATAGGTATAATGATAATTGGAGCGAACTTTCGATGCTGTCGTATTTCCTTTGGTGAATAAGGTTCCGATTAAGGCTCCAAGAAATAAAAGATTGTGTTCAGGCAAGTTTATTTCCTGCAGTCTCAAATCAACTCTCGTATTAAAGATGATTTAGTCAGTGAATTTGTGATGATTGTTCTCTCAGTTCCACCACCAGCACCCATGGTGGAGAGCGTCTCCGGCCGCTTCCAGGGCTCGTGGATGAAGAGCAGGCGCGGGAGGAGCTTCCAGGCGTACCGCGGGATACGATACGCCCACGCTCCTGTGGGCGAGCTGCGATTCCAGGTCAGGCAACTTATAATATCGCATGTTAATTACAGTGCAATATCGAGGCTGACTCATACCCTGTTTCTGAAAGACTGATCAGCGATCAAATTTAACTAACAAGACGCCAAAGCAAGCCTAATCAACTTATCAATGTGCCAGTTGACAATCTGTCAGATTTAGTCCAAAATTCATCATTTGAGTTTAAAAAAATAATTTAATTCAAATCATTTATTTCTGAACTGGGTTCCATAATATTAGCTAAAAACAAGGTACATGGTAACAATCCCGTAAATAACTTATATTACTATAATTTTGATATGTTAGTATAATACAGATTACATAAAACTGTATGAGTTGGTCCGCAGATGCAAGTGGTCAGTCGCAAATTGTATGCTTCAGCAGCATCACTTAGGACACTCCGTAATTTTCTGCCCATCACCACCAAAATTGCCTTAGCACAGTCTTTATTGCTTCCTATACTTGATTATGCTGACGTCTGCTATCTAGATCTCACGGAGGACCAGCTTAACAAACTTGAGCGACTTCAAAATTTTTGTATCCGTTTCATATTTGGCTTGCGCAAATATGATCATGTTTCTCAATTTCGTTCACAGGTCAAGTGGCTACCTATTCGCCTTCGCCGGAATACTCATGTCCTTTCTCTTCTATACAACATACGAGTATTGTTCAATCCCAAGTCCCCGCGCTATCTCAAGGAAAGTTTTAATTTCCTGCATAATTCTAACACGTTATCTTTAAGATCATCAGAAAATCTTGCTCTTATGACTCCCGTACACGGCACAAGTTTTTTCCATCGTTCGTTTGCAGTGCAAGCTGTACATCTATGGAATTCTCTTCCGGTTTCGATAAGACGTGCGGAAACTATTATTACATTTAAAAACCGTCTGAATTCCTATATTCTGACATTGTAATACATTTTGATATCTGATGTGCTTACAACTGCCTCCTAACTGGACTGGATCAATGTATGTATTTGTATTTATACTTACTGTATGTATGTATATATATATAATTCTTCTGTGAGTGTGTATGTCACTGAACTTCTCTTAAACGACTGGACCGATTTTGATGAAATTTTTTGTGTGTGTTCAAGGGGATCTGAGAATGGTTTAAATTCACAAAGACGTGTAGACAGGACAACGTCTGTCGGGTCCGCTAGTATATATATATATATCTTATATGTGTATGGTGTATGTATGTATATACTAATATATTATATATGTTACTAGCGATTTACACCGCCGTCTCTCCCACTTCCTTATAATCCTCTCCATCCAAAGGTTGCCTGGAAGAGATCGCTTTAAGCGATAAGGCCGCCCATTGCATCACGTGTACTAGATGGTTTTGTACTTAATGTTCAATGTTTTTTTGTGGTGTACAATAAAGAGTTTTTGTATTGTATTGTATTACAAGACATGGAGATCTCATAGCAGAGTAGTGTCCCACCGGTCATTAAACACTCTCAGGAGGCTGTTGGTACTAGATCGGAGCCTAGTGAGCATGGAAGCGGATCTCTTTCTTATGATACCGGCGCGGCGTACCGTGTGTGGCGAGTCCATATAAAATGTATGAAAACTACAAGAAATATGCCGGTGGCGGCGTTTTGTGGTTATGGTCGGTGGCCCGTGTGCGGCGACACTAAGAGGGAAAATAGCCATTGGATTGGCTTATTTTGTTTTTCTTTCACTTCCACCAGTATTACTCTTAAACTGTTTTTTATTGTATTTAACCAGGATGCTTGTAATATGAATGATGAATTACTTACGATCTCTTGATAGAGTAGGCAGGCTTTTTTGCGGTTATTACTTTATTCTTTTCAATTTTCTAGATAAAATCTTTCATGCACATGTTGATTATGCACAGTTAAAAAAAATCGATTCGCGTCGTTTTAAATTAGCCGTAATAAATTCACCGCGATATTAGACATAAGTAGTTCCTTTGAATAACATCTTTATATATATAATTCTTCTGTGAGTGTGTATGTCACTGAATTTCTCTTAAACGACTGGACCGATTTTGATGAAATTTTTTGTGTGTGTTCAAGGGGATCTGAGAATGGTTTAGATTCACAATTTTGTCCGCTGGACAACCCCTATTTTTTTAGGGCGGTACGAAGTTCGCTGGGTCAGCTAGTAAATTTATATATATAAAAATATAATATATATATATAATAATAGATAAAAAAAAGTCAATAAAAAAATAAATTTTGTACCGCCGTTTAGTTACGTATCACAAAGAGGGTGTTACCGAGGCTGTAAAAATTTTTTGATGCTTTTTTTTTCAAGAAACTCATCCTGTATTCTTTTGGGAACACTTTAAAACAGGATTCATTTCACAGCATCCGAGAGAAAATGCCATGCCAAGGGGCGGAGTGAGAGCGAGTGCGAGCATTTTTGGTATCGTAAGTGGTTGATCGCGTTTAGGCAAACGTAGTGTAGGACGTCCTCAGGCGCGATGGAGTGACGATTTGCGCAAGGTGGCTGGCAGGAGCTGGATGCGAGTAGCCCAAGATCGATCTGAGTGGCGTGCAATTGGAGAGGCCTATGTCCAGCAGTGGACTAGGATAGGCTGTTGATGATGATGATGATGAAGTGGTTGAAGACTTTAGCAGCTGCTAACCATCTGGCGGGCCAACCCATTTAATATAAAATGTGATTTTTCACCAGCCTCCTAAGCCTATGTTGAAGTATGAAGGCGTGGTGAATGCGACAGACGATGGACCAGCCTGCCCGCTGCCTGCGCCACCTGACTACCCTGTCGACGAAGACTGCCTCACAATCAACGTGTACACGCCCACCAGTAACAGGTAAATTGATGTATTGCTTTAAACTTTCATGGTCACTAACATTATAGTAATTTATGCTCTTAGCGGGATTGTGTAGAAAATCACTGTATCTTATTATGTTATAAATAATTTATTTTAGGAGATTGCTATCATTTACCTTTATAAATTAATCTTTTATATAAAATTCTCGTGTCACAATGTTAGTTACCATACTACTCCGAAACGGTATGACCGATTTTTATGAAATTTTATATGCATATTCAGTAGGTCTGAGAATCGGCTATTATCTATTTGTTATACCCCTAAGTGATAAGGGTTGTCCACCCCTAACATTTTATTTATATTTTTTTGGAACTTTTTTTATATTTTTTTATAACGTGGCATTAAAAATACATACAATCCTAAATTTTCACTCTTCTACCAGCAGCCCCTATTTTTGTGGCGGTACGAAGTTCGCTGGGTCACCTAGTATAAAATAAAATAAAACATTCATATTTGTATCGAGAGCTGTCAACGTTTAATTCACATCTTCAGACCTTTATACTCCACGTATCTTGATTTTCTCTGCAGTGGAGGTTACTTTTCTAGGAATGGGAAATCCACTATGCCCTGCCTTTCATAAAGTAGTTATTATTTAGTTCAGCGTCCCTACCTGTGATATTCTTCATTCATCCGGGCGGGTTCTACTCGATGACAGGACGCAGCGACCTGGCCGGCCCGCACTACCTGCTAGACCGAGACATCGTGCTTGTCACCATCAACTACCGCCTCGGGTCACTCGGTGAGTGTTGTCTTAGAGATCACCTTCATCAGGTTAGGATCACCTTCATCAGGCGGGGATCACTCGGTGAGTGTTGTCTTAGAGATCACCTTCATCAGGCGGGGATCACTCAGTGAGTGTTGTCTTAGAGATCACCTTTATCAGGCTAGGATTACCTTCATCAGGCAGGGATCACTCGGTGAGTATTGTCCTAGAGATCACCTTCATCAGGCTAGGATCACCTTTATCAGGCTGGGATCACTCTGTGAATGTTGCCATAGGGATCATCTTCATGAGGCTGGCTTTAGAAAGGGAAATTTGCCTCAGGGATTATTTTATATACTAATCCCTTTGCACAGGCAGAGGACAGGGTTGTATACATCCACTTCGGCCGATTCTACTCGATGACTGGACGCAGCGTCGCAAACTTGCTGGAACGAGACCTAGTGCTCGCTACCATCAACTACAACCTCCGAATTACTCGGTATATAACACAATCATGAGAAGAGGTTCCCAAACTTATTGTCTTCACCATATTGTTCGACCGAAATGTAACTTTATGAATCATTTGTACCACATAACACAGACAAAAGTTTAGAATCGTTTGTATGGGAATCGATGAAGCCGGCTCGGCCTTCATTCTGTGTTCTGTGAATTGACACAGTTCTGACAATAAATCATCGTCCACATTGTGAAACTATTATTTTCGAGCGCCCATTAAAATGGTTTTGTTGACAATCTCATTTTTATAAACTTTTATTTAGCTTCACCTAAATACGTGTCTGTTTGCCGGATTCTAATTGATCTGTTTTTTTTGTTAGGTTTCCTAAGCACAGGCGATAAACTAGCGCCCGGTAACAACGGTTTCCGGGATCAAGTGGTTGCTATGCAATGGGTTCAGAGGAATATCCGGGCGTTCGGCGGAGAGCCAAACCTGGTCACTATCGCCGGATGCAGCGCCGGGTCTATCAGCGTCATGCTGCATATGGTCTCTCCTATGTCCAAAGGTGAGTTTTATCATGTTAAAAGGATGCTCAACCAGTACAATGATAAAGAAAAAACCCGCACCCTCCGCAATCCGGGTGAATGCACTGACCAATTATGCTACCACAGCCCTGATGGCCGCATTAAAATTTTCCTAGCCTTAAGCTGCAAGGTAGCGCTATCTCTTCGCATTGTAGGTAACCCACAATGTCAAATGTTTACTTTTTCAAGTGTTAAACATTTGAAAGAAGAAATAGCAATTATAGTTATATTATATTTCTTTAGATTTAAACATCTAGCAGTTAAATACTTAAAAATAAATAAAAACAACAGTACAATGATGTGAACTTGACGGTAATCTTAAAGACGCTTGCTATATCAAAGTATTAGTTACACCGTTGCCTACCCCGTCCCTTAGCCATTATTAGAAGATGGAATAATTTCTGACTCAGTGGCTCCAGCTTCTTACTATCCTCGGTCAAACACGGAAAGATTTCCGGTAAAACATGTCTGGCACATTGTCCACTTAGCTTTCACCAAAAGCAATACTTATAGCGCTAGCGACAAATCATTTATCGAGTGAGCTACCGCCATTTAAAATAAAAAATATGTCAGGTCATGTATATGTTACAGTTAAGACCCGTTTTTAGTTAGAACGTTTTTTCTCTAGTTAAAATTAGTTTTTACTAAATGCCTTTTTTAAAACTAGAAATAACTAGTCAAAGCTAGAATTTACCAATGATATATTTTATTTTCAGATAAAACTAGTTGTCACTCCGAGATTTAGTTAAAACTAACACTAGAGAAACTAATTTGGGATTGAAAACAAGATATAGTTTTAAAAATATTTATTAAAAAGATCTAGGACACAGGCACTTAGCTTTATTATAATAATTCTTATTTGCTGTGCCTGACAATGTCCATAATCTGATCTGTAAATATTTTAAATACCAGTTGCAGGTTATTCAGGTGGTTGGTTATTGAGAACAGTTTTAACTGACTGGCTTCGGAAAAACGTGTGTTGTCTAACAAGAACTAGTTTTAACAGATATTCCATTTTGGTCATTTGTCAATTCTAGTTTTAACAAAGGCATTTAGTAAAAACTAGTTCTAGCTAGGGAAAACGCGTTCTATCTAAAAATTGGTTTTAACTGTAACATATACATTTTTGTCTTCTCAGCTCTCGTTGCGATCCTCTTCTAACCTTCTTCTTGAAATTCCCTGTCACTCTTCTGACTTCTTTTCTTATTCCTTTTCTGTGCACGCCGCTCGGCTGTGGAATTCTCTCCCTGAAGGAATCAGAAAGGCTCGTTCACTTAATTCCTTTAGCGATCAAGTTAAAAGCTATTTCCTTTCCGTTTCTTAAATTCATTTAGCATCCCATTTCTTTGCTTCTCTTGAATATTTATGTAAGGATTATCTCCTGTTTTTTTTTCTTTTGCACCCTTCTATATTTATCTATATTATTATTCCTCTTCCACCATAGGTTGCCTGGAAGAGATTGCAGTTTAGCAATAAGGCCGCCTATTGTACTCTTTCTTCTGTTTTATTTGTTTATGTCTTGTGTCCTTTATTGTGTGCAATAAAGAATATTTATTATTATTATTATACATTATTGTCTTATATCAGGGTTATTCCACCGCGGTATATCGATGAGCGCGTCCCCCATGGGTCCAGGCCCATTGCCTGATAATCTGTATGACGTGGCCGTGAAGCAGGCGCGTCTGGTGGGATGTCCTACAGATAACTCCACTGTCATCATGGAATGTTTGAAGAACAAGCCCTGGAGGGAGCTGGGAGACTCGCTTTATGGATTCCGGGTAAGTTACTACAGGACTATAGAGGAATACCAGAATAATGAAGCAGGAGTGTCATACTCAGAGACATCCATATTTAATATCGTTTATTCAGTCTTGGCAGTTACAAGCACTTGTGAATGTCGAAAAGCTACGCATTCCATCAACGTTTTGAAAATAGGGTATTTGACAAGTCGATGTCACGTTATTGACTAATGTTTATGGAGTCCGTAAAAAGTGGATATTTATCATTCTGATGTGTATTTCAGTAAAAATAACCAAATCAAAAACTCCATTTTCAAGTTGCCGCGAAAACGTTTTTCTGGACAATATGGCGTCTTACTAGTGTGTGACGTCACACAACTGTTATTAAGACGTCAAACGATACAATGTAATGTCACTTAAACCGGAAGTTTACTTGTGTGTGACGTCATTTTAGGCTCCGCCAATCCCAAGCGTTTTGGGTCACGTAACAATAGATAAGAAAACTATTATCTTTTTCGTGGGGTTTTAGTAAAATTATGAATATTTTTTTTTGTAAAAATAGTAAAACCTCTGCCAATATTCATTCTAAACACAGATACTAACAATTGGCACTTTATTTTTAATACTGTCAAATACCCTATTGTAATAGTAGAATGAAACAACATATGACTTATTGAAGCATTCAATTGATTAAGGCTAATGTGACTTTCTATTATTGGAAGAAGTTTCCAAAATCGGTTTAATAATTCTAGAGATTACGAGCACTTTCTACAAACAATCTCAAAAGCATAAGTACTAAATCAAACTTTTCTTTTAGTGTTTTTACAGTATAGATTCTTATAAAAGTTGTCTTACCTGTGCTGTCCTGCCAAGTCCTGTACCATTCTATTCTTTTATATTCCCCTCAGGAGTGGGGCTTCGACCCGGTGGGCGTCTGGCCTCCAGTAGTAGAACGAGATCTAGGTCACCAACGCTTCCTGACGGAACAACCTGCTGATACACTACGCCGCAACGCCGCGCACACTACGCCGCATCTCATCAGTCAGACTACTGACGAGTTCTTCTGGAGCGCTTTCAGTACGTATACTTAACATATATTATCATCACTTGCCAACCCTGTTCCATATATCACAGCTTACGAAATAAACAAAAAAGAATGAAAGAAATTTTATTAGTGAAAGGAACAAAAAATCGGATCGCGACTGGACAGTCATCAGTCACTTCGTTACACGACAGCTTATATATATGTTACCGGCCAAACCCGATTTCAGGATAAACTAGTTTGGCCTAGGCTAAACTGGTTTATAATATCGAGCTTAGGACAAATTACTTTGGACTAGGCTATACTAGTTAATTCTAGTCAGATGGGGTTTAATGAAGAATAAAGACGGAGAAGTGAGTGATAAACATGTTTGATCAACCATTCATAATGGGCCATTGCGAAAGTACGCAACGATAGCAGACCGAAGCCCCGAACGCGCTAACTAACACGCCATCGAACTACTCTAAATTAGATCTACCGAGAAATCGACATCTTTTTGAAGTTATACTTCTTTAGGCGCGTTATGAAAAAATGATGAGAGTGAAATTTTAAGATGCGCGCGCATCATTGTAACACAAAATTTTAACTTCATGCGTTACTTTTGTGTTTACCGCACATTAAGCAAAATCTACCAACAAAATAGAAATAGAATCTCTATTTAGTGGGTGCTAACGACTGCATTGTGAAGGCCTATCAAAAGTATTTATTAATCTGGAACAACGGAACCAAAGCGCGATTCAGGAGACTACAGCGCCATCTCTTGACCATTGGTGTAGTAGAACCAAAAACCACATCTTTTTCACTACATAGTATAAAACAAAGTCGCTTTCCCTGTCCCTATGTCCCTTTGTATGCTTAAATCTTTGAAACTACGCAACGGATTTTGATGCGGTTTTTTTTATTAATAATTGACTATTTATGTATTTAGAAAGCGCCGTTTAGTAATTGATTTAGTAATGATATTCACTGTGTTTAATGTTATTGATATTTGGAAGAACTAATTGTGATCAAACGCCTTGCCTATATGCATTGAAAAAAACTGTGTTGAATTATTTGCATGCCTACATGATAAAGATCAATACTGGTGCCAATTCTGGCGTGATTCTGTAATCTTAAAACTTAATTTAACATCAGTGTCTCCTTTTCATTCTGTATGGATAGTGACAAGCAAGGATATACTGCTTTCAAATTTAAGTTTAGGTTTAGAAAATCATGCTAGAATCGACACTAGCCTAGGCCAAACTGGTTTATAATATCGAGCTTAGGACAAATTACTTTGGACTAGGCTATACTAGTTAATTCTATCGCGTATGGGAAGAACTAGTTTAGCCTAGGCAAAACTAGTTTGTCCTGAAATCGGGTTTGGCCAGTAACATATACATCAGGCCTTACCTTGACTTCCAGCAAACTGACTCTAAACCTACGGTCTAATGGGCGCCGTAGGATAAAATAAAGGTCCACTAGGTCCCAAGTGAAAACGTTTATAAAACAGAAGATTCAAAGGTTCTTTATTTGCTAATAATGTTTACAAAAGATGGTTGTGTGTTAAATTAGAGCAAACAGTGGTGTCGATTCTAGCATGATTTTCTAAACCTAAACTTAAATTTGAAAGCAGTATATCCTTGCTTGTCACTATCCATACAGAATGAAAAGGAGACACTGATGTTAAATTAAGTTTTAAGATTACAGAATCACGCCAGAATTGGCACCAGTATTGATCTTTATCATGTAGGCATGCAAATAATTCAACACAGTTTTTTTCAATGCATATAGGCAAGGCGTTTGATCACAATTAGTTCTTCCAAATATCAATAACATTAAACACAGTGAATATCATTACTAAATCAATTACTAAACGGCGCTTTCTAAATACATAAATAGTCAATTATTAATAAAAAAAACCGCATCAAAATCCGTTGCGTAGTTTCAAAGATTTAAGCATACAAAGGGACATAGGGACAGGGAAAGCGACTTTGTTTTATACTATGTAGTGAAAAAGATGTGGTTTTTGGTTCTACTACACCAATGGTCAAGAGATGGCGCTGTAGTCTCCTGAATCGCGCTTTGGTTCCGTTGTTCCAGATTAATAAATACTTTTGATAGGCCTTCACAATGCAGTCGTTAGCACCCACTAAATAGAGATTCTATTTCTATTTTGTTGGTAGATTTTGCTTAATGTGCGGTAAACACAAAAGTAACGCATGAAGTTAAAATTTTGTGTTACAATGATGCGCGCGCATCTTAAAATTTCACTCTCATCATTTTTTCATAACGCGCCTAAAGAAGTATAACTTCAAAAAGATGTCGATTTCTCGGTAGATCTAATTTAGAGTAGTTCGATGGCGTGTTAGTTAGCGCGTTCGGGGCTTCGGTCTGCTATCGTTGCGTACTTTCGCAATGGCCCATTATGAATGGTTGATCAAAAATGTTTATCACTCACTTCTCCGTCTTTATTCTTCATTAAACCCCATCTGACATCTAACAGGAAATTGAGATGGGCTGGCCACATAGGTCGCAGAAATGATGGCCGATGGGGAAATATTGTACTGGAGTGGTGACCCAGAACTGGTCACAGGAACGTAGGTAGACCACCGATGCGATGGACAGATGATATCATTAAGCTAGTGGGAAAGCACTGGATGAGAACAGCAAAAGACCGAGATCTAGCTCGGCATGCGCTGCAAGAGACCTACAGCTTTTCAGCTTTCAGCTTTGGATGGCTATGGGTTCAAGAAGAAGATGGGTCTCTATTCCATGCATAGGGAAGGCATATGCCGTAATAGTGAAGATATTAATAAGCTTTTAATGATGATGACATCAGTCAAATTTCCGATGAGTCCTTCTGAAGCACCCATAGGACACCAAGGGGAGAGACCAAAAGATAGATAGTGACATATAAAAACAAGAGATTTTCTAAATTTCTAGTATTTTCGAAATTAAATAATGTCTTTTTCCAAGGTCCCATAAATCTCTATACTTACGAATATTGTTTAAAATAGCAAACCATTGAACCAAATGTTCACCAAAACCTGATTTCTCAAAAACCGGAAGTGCTACGTTACTCAAATCCGGTTTGTAGTCTTATCAGACTATTCTTAACTTATAACTTAAATATTCTCTTTATCTATCTTTTACGGTTTGGCCGCTGAAACAGCACCACAGACAGACGCACGGACTTGTCTAATAGATAAGAGATTGGTCCAGTGATTTATACGTGACAACGTAACAGTAGTTACTTTCATATTAATAACATTACTTGTTTATGAGCCATGAAATCTTACCCTAAAGTAAGTATTGATTGAACACAGAACAAGAAGTCATAGTTTGGGTAAAACCTAAGTAGCGAATTGTCTTAAGAACTTAATTATACGCAGTAGAAGGAAAAATACTACATTTTGGTATTCTGTTGATATCATTAACGACTTGCGTGAATAATTTTCTCGTACTGACTCACGGCATACGGATACTGCGCACTTCATGGAGCGTGGAAAATTTACATTTCTCGATTATTTTTACAAAGCAAGAATTTGTAATCAGGCCAGTTCGATTTATTAATACTCTAGAGTTATGAAACCCTGATATTTAAAAAAAAAACGACGGATTGCACTCCGGAAGTGCCGGCAGAAGTGAAAACTTGAATATTAACGTTGTGCATTTTTGATATTTTGGAATGGTTAGGGTTTTGCACGAATTGTTTTGATTATCAGTATAAAAGTACTATCATGTATGTGGTAGAATACAATATTTATTTATTGCGCTATCGTACAAAAACATGAAAATTTATATAATATTAAAAAAGTTTATCTCTCAGAAAAATGAACTTACATGAATCACGTTTAAGCGCACTTAGCGACATCTATTGTAAAGAAATCAACTTACATGAATCACATTTAAGCGCACCTAGCGACATCTATTGTAAAAAAATGTATTTTCTTGGCAATAAAGCTGTCACATGGACGTCCTAGATAGAGACTTATTATTATAATACGATAAAATAAAATATTATTATGTTTCGTCTAATATATTGAAAGTCAACAACCTTTCCAATTTTATTGTGTGTCATGATGCGATCAGCCCACGTGTTTAACCTGAGGCGAGTTTAACATTTTTTACCCACACAAAAAAAGTGTACAACGCCGTTATAGAAGTTTTCACTTCAAAAATATGGCACACAGTTCTTGCTAGTTCACAGCACATAATAATGTATGTAACGATATTATATCCTTGGATTAAAGACGAGATCAGCAGGCATATTCGTTAATTGGTTTTGACAGATGGAAATGATAATCACAGAACTTTTGATTGATCCACTACTGTTTTATTATAACGACACCAAAATATTTGATTATTTATTAATGAGAAAATATTTAAGATAAACATTCAGGATAATGTGTTAACATCGTCTTAAAATGTGCCAATTTGACACTCAGATTAATATTTTGTACTTTTAAGTATAAGTTTCAGTTATAGAGTATTTGAAAATTATCTTACGTTATTTATTTGTGTTTATGGACTCCTCTCCAAAGTGGTTAATTATCATCCTGATGTGTATTTCAGTAAAAAGTTAATACAAAAGTACTGCTTTCAGATATGCCGCTGAAAAGTTTTTCAATGTGTGACGTCACACGGCTGACATTTAAACGTCAAACGGTACAATTACTTTTACATAGACCGTAAGCTTATATGTGTTGTGACGTCATTTGATTAGAGGCTCCGCCAAACCCAGGCGTTTTCAGTCACGTGTCAATGGATAAAATTATAAATATCTTTTCTATAAAAAGGGCAAAATCCCGTGTCCATGTTTATTCTAAATACAGACGTCAACATATAGCTCTTTATTTATAAAGAGTACCTAAATATTTTTAATAAGAGTTTACGAAGGTCCTTACTTTGATAGGAGTGGCTATGAGTGTAGTAACACAGTCTAAATGATAATAATCTATATATATAAAACTCAAAGGTGACTGACTGAAATTTGGCATGCAGGTAGATGTTATGACGTAGGCATCCGCTAAGAAAGGATTTTGATCAATTCTACCCGATTTCGAATAGATAGATTACAAATTTCATTCAAATATGTCATTTCCAGACGTAATCAGGAATGAGAGTCTCCTAAACGACATGAACGCGAACTGGGAGCGTGTAGCACCAATCAGCTTCCAGCTTCCCGCGGAGAACTCTTCGACGGTGGTCGCCAAGTTGAAGGAGGTGTATCTGAACAACAAACCTCTGAAGGCAGACGAGGAGAGCGCAAGGGCTCTGGGGAAAATATACGGAGACGCGATCGTAGGATTCCCGACGCACAGGTATAAATATACAGTAAAACCCGTTTAAGACGATTCCTCAGGGACTCAACCAAAAACGCGTCTTAAACGGGAAAGCGTATTATGCGGGATGGGGTAATTTTTAATGTAGGAATTGAGGTATTAAATGTACAGTATTTAAAAATTATGTATGTTATAAAAATGTAGTGTATTTTTATTTATTATTGCGTTATTTAAATTAATCACTTATTTTCGTCTGTCAAAAAGATTTTGAGGCATTAGCAATTACAAGATTTGTAACATAATTTAACTTTTGCTAGGCGCTTTGATTCAATGAAATTACATAGCGTCTTAAATCATTAACTGCTGATAATGCTTGGGCGTGTGACAAAATCGGAGTTGACTCATCTTTTTATTGATCATTATCACTTAGGGCCTCTTCTCGTGTGTTATTCACATTCTCATTGAATTTTATACTGTGCCACAATGTCATCAATGGAAGAATATCCAGGAAAATCCTGGGGGCCGCTTAGCGTGCGTCGCTCGACAGTTGTCACGTCAATCGCTGGCCGCTGCCGCAAGAGGTAATATGTGTGGTACGTTGGCGATTTAGGCAGATTAAACGGGATGACGAAAATGTACGAAAACATGTCTCAAGTTGCAGGGACTGACGCAAAATGGCGTATTACGCGAGAAATCGTATTAAGCGTGATCGTATTAAATGGGTTCTACTGCTATGAAACTTCAGTTTTTATACCTATAAAAGAAAAAATGTTTGCCTGAAAGTGTTTCCCAATAGCTTAACTTTCACTGAAAGTACTATTAAACTTCTTAGATAACTTCACTCGGCCACAAAATCTATATATATAAAACTCTAAGGTGACTGACTGACATAGTGATCTATAAACGCACAGCCCAAACCACTGGACGGATCGGCCTGAAATTTGGCATGCAGGTAGATGTTATGACGTAGGCATCCGCTAAGAAAGGATTTTGATCAATTCTATCCCGAAGCGAAGCGAGGGCGGGCCACTAGTAAATGATAAATTATCTTGAACAGGATGGCGAACCTGATGTGCCGCCATTCCCCTCACAAGGTGTTTTACTACGAGTTCGCGTACATCGGTAATCACAGCCACTACGAGGACCCTGACACTGGGAAACCAATAGGTAAGTGAATATTTTAGTTAGGAACTATGTCGCTAGAGACCATTGTTTCCACTTTAATGATTTCCTTTCCCCACGCCTCAATTAAGATTTCCCCTTCTTAGGACATTTTTCCCCTCAAAAATTATTCTGCTGTAGTTTTTAGATTTGGCACTAGTGTAGTAACTAAAAAAAAAGTCTTAATCTATCTTATTCTATAAGAGATAAATAAAATATATAAAATCTGCACGTGTTACCACAATTTCTTTTATACGGCAACACTCTAGTCCACGGTATCGTTCCATAAAAAATTTGTTCCGTGCCGCATTATTTTAGGCTAGGCTTTACCCATTATTTCCCGCAATTTCCCCTTTTCATGTCTTTCCCCTTTTTCTTCCCCTCTGGACACTAATTTCCCCTTAAAATGGGAATTTCCCCTCATTGTGGAAACACTGCTAGAGACTTATTTTTAAAGAAATTGAAAATTAAAATTTTTCGTAGCGTAGGTATATAAAATTTAAATTCCTTTAAATCATAGTTAATCATCATAAACGACCAAATTTTACAATAGATTTTTAAAAAGGAACTGTTAAAGGAGCACTACAGTGGAGAAGCATACCCTAAATAAAACCTTCCGGGGAAGTAAGCTCCACCATATAGAAGAACACAATAATATCATCATCATCATCAGCCTCGCACTAAGCGATTCGCTTCTAGCTTCATCGTGCGGACTGCCAAACTGTGGAATTCCTTGCCTGAGCCCTTGTTCCCCGAGCACTACAATCTAGCGATCTTCAAAGCAAGAGTGAACCGGTTTTTATTAGGTAAGCGCGCTCCATCGTAGACCATAATATTGCTTTCCATCAGGCAAATTATGGTCAAGCGCTTACCTATTACCGAATAAAAAAAAAGCCTATTAATATCCCCACTGCTGGGGCACAGGCCTTTCCTATGGATGGAATAGGGAGTTTGGGCCATGACCCACCACGCGGGCCCAATGCGGATTGGCGGGTGCTAACGACAGCAGATGCAGCCAGGACCAACAGCTTAACGTGCCTTCCGAAGCACGGAGGAGCTCAAGACAGAAGATTTTTGGTCACCCATCCAATGACCGACCACTGCGAAAGTTGCTTAACTTCAACGATCGCAGCGGAACGCTCTAACCACCTGCGCCATCGAGCTCCTCAGGGTTATTAGTAACACGACACAATTCCCATTTGGAGCATATACATCTTCTTCCTAGGCATTACACGAGATTCGAAGCTTTATGGGCCAAAGAGCCTTAGCTTTGCATCCTACAGCGTAGACTGCATATGCAGCCGGGACCAACGGCTTAACGTGCCTTCCGAAGCACGGTGGAGCTCGAGCTAATAAGTTTTGGTCACCCATTCAATGGCCTACCATTGTGAAAGTTGCTTAACTTTAACGATCGCAAGCCGAATGCACTAAAAACCTACGCCATGGAGCTCCTCAATACATTACCCTTTCTTTATTACCCTCTTGCTATGTTTTGTGGTTAGCACCCACCACTCCACTTTGGGCGTGGTGGGGCATGGCCTGTTCTTCCTATCCTTTCATGTTACATACGTTACATATACGAAAATTTATTACTTTGTAAGAAAAAATATTAATTTGTTTCTTAAGAACAGTGATGTTCACACACTTAGTTGAAAATTATCGTGGCATTACAATACTTTCCACTATAGGTAAACTCTTTGAAAAACTAGTATATGATGCTATTTATCCATTGATTGTTAAAGGCATTCCTGACAGTCAACATGGCTTTATAAAGAACCGCTCAACAATTACAAACTTAACATGTTTTACTGGCTACGTATTAAAAAATATGGATCATGGCGGTCAGGTTGATGTGATCTACACAGATTTTGAAAAAGCTTTCGATCGTGTGGATCACGTCATCCTGCTCAGCAAGCTACACGCCCTTGGTATTAGAGGAAATTTACTCAGATGGATAGAATCATATTTAAAAAATCGATCCCAGCCAGTTGTTGTAGGTGGTTACAGATCGGACTTCATCACTGTACCCAGCGGCGTGCCCAAAGGCTCTCATTTAGGCCCCTTGTTTTATATTGTATATATATACGATATACCAAAATATATAAAATTTTCTAAGCACTTAATGTACGCAGATGACATGAAAATATTCTGTTCAATTAAAGGCGATAATGACTGCATTGAAGTGCAAAAAGATTTAGATAATTTAACTAACTTTTATAAACTCAATAAAATAAACATTAATATAAAAAAATGTCAGTGCGTGCATTTTACACGCAAGTTAAAACCTATTATATATCCATATTCATTTGATGGTTTGTTAATTAATAAGTCGTCTGAAATTCGTGATTTAGGTGTGCAACTAGACGAAAAAATGTTGTTTTCTAATCACATTGGCTCTGTAACTAATAAGGCTTTTAAAAACTTAGGCTTTGTCTTACGCTCATGCAAACCATTTAATAACTTATTCACATTCAAGTCAGTTTATTTTGCTTATGTCCGTAGTGTACTTGAATATGCTAGTGCAGTATGGTCGCCTCAATATATTATTTATATAAATCGTCTAGAAAAAATCCAAAAAAAGTTCATTAAACATCTGAATTATCGCTTCCGTAAGCCTTTTGACTCGTATCAAGATGCGTGTCAAAATTATAATATTCTTAATCTCAAGGACCGTCGCAATCTGCTAGATATGAGTCTCCTGTATGACATTGTTAACGGACAGATAGACTGTATTGATCTTGTTGAGAGTATTAAGTATCGTACGCCTAAACGTCGTACACGACACACACCTTTACTTCACGTTCCTCCATGTTCCACAAACTATGCTAGAAACAGCCCATTGGCACGACTTCCTATGACTTATAACATCCACTTTAGTGAATATGATATTTTTTTACTATCTAAGACAACTTTTAAGAGGGCAATAACTTCCGAATTGATGCCTATCTGATGCACTGTGATACCTAGTGACCAAATTTTAGTTCCGTTTCTGGTTCCGTTTTGCCCACGGCTGGTTGGGGGACCCGTTGGTTGGCGGGTGTCGGCTGGTGAGAGATCAATTATGATTATATTGTAAATGTGTGTTTGGTTTCTCATCGCCCGGCCCTGGTCGCTTGATGGGTTCTTGCAATCTGTCGTTGTTATTACTATGGACTAATGATGGAAACCTTGCTGCTGTTTTGCTTATTGTTTTATACATTGTCTCTGTTAAACTAAAGGACTTGGCGATGCTGATGTTTTTGTGCAGTTGTTGTTTTGTTTAATATCACACCTATTATTGATTATAAAAGAAAACCTGTAATTGGTCTTACCGTAATTTATATTAGTTATAGAAGTACCATTTGTAACGCTGTTGGTTTTCTCTTAATAAATAAATAAACTTAATACAAGAAACAAAAATAAACTAACTTTACCTGCTACTAGGCTTCACAAAATAAATAATTCATTTAAAGGTCTTTGTGTTCGCTTATACAATAAAGTCCCAAGCAATATTCAAGAGTCAACCATAAATAAATTCAAAGATAGTATAAAAAAAACACTTATTAAAAAAGTGTCTGATTATATTACAGACGAAAACGCTTTTGTTTGAACTGTTCCATACATTCCAACAGGTTTTCTATATTAAATAAGACATGATTGAATTGACGTTCTAACAACATAATGATTTGTAAATGTTGTTACAACGTTTGCACTTTTAATGTTGTGGAGTTCTTTTCGCTCGTTTTTCTCCGCAGCTAAAAAATATGTCCAATAACGAGTGGTAGGGAAAAAAATGTTTGGACGATTCAAAAGTGTTGTACTATACATCCAATTTGAATATAGATATATTGATTTCTGATTTCCTATCCATAAGGAAGGCCTGTGTCCCAGCAGTGGGGACATTAATAGGCTGATAATGATGACTCTCGGAGGTATCTTTTATGGATAATGTACCACTTTTCAGGCGCGGCGCACCACGACGACCTGATCTACCTGTTCTCGCTGAGCTACCGGTTCCCCTTCATCACTGCAGATGATGAGAACCCTGACTCCAGGATGGTGGACTACATGACTCATATGTGGTACAACTTCGCTAAGCACGGGTCAGTAAACTTTGCTATTAAAGGTCATTTGCACTAACATTCATTAAATCGAGGCTTAAACGCATTTAACACATTATTCCGTCTCTCCCATTGGAAATATTTTTATGAGTACGTAAAACGAATTTGACAAAAAATATATTTCGAAGCATTTTGGGACAAATTTAATATAATTTTCTTGTAAAAATAATTGTTGGAATATATCAAATCTAACAATTAAAATAAAAAATATCCTATATAAGACTGTAGCAGATTTACGAAATTTAAAATTAAGCATCCAATTTCAATGAAAAATAAAGTTTGACCTTGACTTTTTCTTGACATATAACATAGAGCTACGCGGCCAGTGGAGTAGGCATTCCCAGCTTTCCCCTGTGCCAGTTTCCCCTGGTGTTGGGCTTGCTTACGAACAAAACTAGTTGCGCTCGGATATTTCATTAGACTGAGTCAAGTGGCGCGAGTGTATGTTAGAAATCAAAAATGCCAAAATGTCATGTAATTTGTTGTATAACATATATAGAATATCAAACTTACAAAAGGATGGTGTTAATTTTCACATATAAGTAGAATTATTAACATATTATTTGCATTTAACCACTTTTAAACACTTGATATTATTTCAAATTAAGACTTGTTTGACAAAACAATCGACACGCCAGTAGAGATCTGCCAATAAAAAATCTTACGTGTCATTTATGCCCGATTTAGAGTTGTCATTATTACGTGTGTGTGTCGTGATTACAATTTCGTTTTGAGAAAGTATGTTGGACTGCAATTGTGTGCATATTCCTCCCTCCGCAAAAAGTGGCAGAATGATTTCAGTAGTATTGTGTCAGAATGGCTACTCCCCTCCTGGCTGTCGGTCGTGTTGCTCAATGACATATATTATTCACTATATGATACACGACTGGTAAATGGTGGCTGTTTCTTTACCCTCAAAAGCGGAAAAAATATTTTTCTGCTGCTTAATTGAATATATGATATTGAAATATTGTTTTAAACTTCATCGTCACTAACATTATAGCTATTGACGTAGTACGTACGTTCGACGTAGTGTACCTTCTTTTTATGATCTTTCGGCACTGTTGCAAGCGCCATGATCACGAAGTAAATATGGCGCTTGCAACAGTGCGTTAATAGCTATTATGATATTGAAATTTGAAATACTTGAAAACGTAAAAATAATCATGTGTCCTTTCCCAGAGACCCCAATCCCCTGGAAGGCGGTCTCCCGTCGTGGCCCGCGATGTTTCCAAAGCGGCGCCACTACCTGCGGGTGGCATCCCCCCCCACATTGCACGAGAACATGTTTGAAGACCGGTTCACGGTTTGGGATGAACTTTATCCAATCAAATACTGATCATAAGGAATCGATACACTTACAGAAGATAAAGAAACAAGTGGAAAAATTAAGACAATTAAAAACACGACTGTTGTTAAAAAATGAACTAAAAAGTTTAATTATGTTTTTATTTTTAAGCATTTAACTGCTAGATGTTTAAATGTAAAGAATAGTTTACTAGAAAAAAATCCACGCGGACCAGGCAGCGGACGGGAAATACTAGATTTTTTTTAAAAGTTTTTAAAAAAAACCTTGTATTTATCACGTGTTTCCTTGGCGTATTACAGGTTGAACTGTTTATTAATTTGTATATGTTTGACATGGTCTCATTAGGACCCTTCAAATGATACCTACCTGTATTGTAATAATTAGAAGCCTTTTTTTAATTGACATAAATATTTGACATTGCTGTTATTTCAATTTTAACAGTTTAGTGAAAGGTTTCAAACGTTACTACACATGGGTAGTGGGTGGGTTGCCTATAATGCAAAGAGATGGCGCTGCCTTGCAGCTTAAGAATGGCTAGAAGAATTTCAACGCGGTCCGTGAGGGCCGCGGTATCATAATTGGTTAGTCCCGTCTGCTGCCTGGTCCGCGTGGATTTTTTTCTAGTTATATTTTCTTTAGATTTAAACATCAAGCAGTTACATGCTTTAAAGATAATAAAAATTGTTACCAGACATATCTAAATCGATTGAGGCGTTTAGAAGTTATGGTGGAATAAAGAATAATTGTACATACATACCTGAACCTTGAAATTACCCTCTTTTAATGAGCAGTCGTGTAAAAAGAGGAAGTTTTCGAAAGAGCCTCGAATGGCAATTAGTTCGTTAGTTTGATTTAATTATAATTACGTAATTGCAGTAGAATACTATAACGCGTCCCATAGACAAGTATTAAAAATTATTTGACGTTTCTCAGCGTGTAAAGTGATTCATTTACATAGGTATCTATTATTTTACACAATGTTTTTTTTTGTGAATTTATTAATTTACTATGTACTAATAAAATGTTTCAATGTTAATAATTTGACTTGACTGATTTTATTTTATTTCCACCATAAAATAGGAAAATCCTTCTTACCTGCTTTTCTTATGTCAAAAGGGTAGCAAACAAGCACAAGGCCTAATTGATAGGAAGCGGCCTCCATCTATCTATCTATATATATAAAACTCAAAGGTGACTGACTGACATAGTGATCTATCAAGGCACAGCCCAAACCACTGGACGGATCGGGCTGAAATTTGGCATGCAGGTAGATGTTATGACGTAGGCATCCGCTAAGAAAGGATTTTGACCAATTCTACCCCCAAGGGGATAAAATAGGGAATGAAAGTTTGTATGAAACTTTGTCAATTTTAAACCGATCGGGCTGAGACTTTGCATGCAGGTATAAGAAGAATCATAGATGAATGTCATTGTGTATAATACAAGCCTGAGAACGAAAACTGTAGTCTACACTTCGGCTCTACACCGAAGCGAAGCGAGGGCGGGCCGCTAGTAGCATATAGACTTGCCTACCCTGATCCAATCCCCTACCTCGTGGAGCCCTGGAACCATACTCACCAACAGAAACACAGCACCATCAAACGGTGGAGGTTACTGACTCAGACGGGCGCTGCATTTTGAGCGGAAAATCCTTTATGCCTTACCTTCTTTAAACCAAGGGCGGATCCAGGGGGGGGTCATGGGGGTCATGACCCCCCCCCCCCTGGGCTGGGTACAGATGGACCAAACCCAGGGGGATTTTATTTAAGTACTTTCAATATTTATATACCACGACTATATGACCCCCCCCTGGCACCAAAGCTGGCTATATAACCCCCCCCTGGCGCCAAAGCTGGATCCGCCCTTGCTTTAAACAGCTGTTGTAGAAGTCTACTCCTAAAGAAATAAACAAACCATATTTATAAAACAGTAAGGTATAAAGGACATCGACGAAATCGGCCCTAGCATGCCCAAAAGAATGTCCTTCACTATTATCTTTCTATTATTTTTTTAACATATTAGCAATTAATCATAGTAAACGGACAATCTGTTTAAAAAAATAAAGTTCTGTTACTAGATACTACAGTCTATTCATCCAACTTGGCACTCCTTTTTATTGAAAAAACAGCATTAAAAATCAACTGATAACTGGATTCAAAAGGTTTCAGTCTATAATAACGATTTATTTTAATAGTTTATTGGCTTCGTTAATATTTTATTATTAAATGGGTGATTCTGTTAAAAAGTTGTGCCAAGATTGTTTACTTTAATAAATGCATTAGAGGCGACCATAGGTATTTATTAAAAGAAAAATAGAGAAACCTTAGTTAATAATACTTATTACTAGTATTATATTTATAAAAAGATTATTTCTGAAATTATGTAAAGATAGTTTATACTCCCATCCCATGTAATATCTGTTTATTTTTATGAAAATCATAATGATAATCAGGTACATACCTAATTACCGATAGTAAAATATAGAAACAGGTAAATGGAAAGACTGAACATTTCATTTGAAAAGAAATCTATTATTACTACAGATAAGGTAAAGGTATCGTAGGTGCCAACTGATAACACTCATTAATCAATATGAATATAAGCATTTATTATTTTTATTATTAATTGCATTTTATGTTCATTTCATGCATATTATTTAAGTGCTTACATAGAGGTAAACACTAAATCTATTCAGAATATATAAAGTGTACATCTTTTACGATTAAGTATAATAATTATAACCTCAAAATCAAATACATTCTGTAGTAGGCCACGGTTCCTCAAGTTGTCCGTATCTCAACAAATGCCTAATTAGAGTTTATGAATGATTCCGAACACAACTAGCATTTTCTCATTGCTGGGCGTTCTAGGGCATTCAATGTATGGGGAACGAGCAATGTCCTTTAATTATTTCAAATGAAAATGAATCATTGTTTAAGTAAAAGAAAACAGAATTAGAACTCGTTAGTTGGAGGGAAATTCACCCGTTTTCAGAGATAGTTGCGCGCTGCGTTGCAATAACGCAACGGTAAATAGCTGTATTAAATAACATAGCGAGTGTTATTTCGCCCTTTAATGGCTGGTAACGGTTATAAATAAAGGGAACTCTTAGAACGATGCATCAAGTGGCTATCGGGATGTTACCGACTGTAAAAAACTTTATGATGACACAAACATAAGGGCTCTAATAGGTGTGATGACGGGGTACAGTAAACGAAATTCTATTTAGTCCGTCAGTTAGATGAACAAAAAATAATGGACACGGAGTAGGGACTCGTGACGTCACTTGAGTGAATTTTCACTTATAAGTGTACTCAAACGTGACGTCATGCGATTTTTCAAATCAATATTTCTCTGCAATGTTTATATTATGTGAAAAAATAAAAAATACGTATCCAATACTTTTTGATAACCTGATAAACGAAGAAAAAAAATTAGTCATCCTCCCTATTCTTTAACATTACTTCCACTCGAGAGAGCTCAGAGAGCGGTTTTAAAGGTGGCTCTCCGAAAACCTATACTTTTTTCAACTGATGCTCTTTACACAGAAGCTAAGGTCCTAAGCGTCAGAAGACTTTACTTCGTGAGAGTGGCTGTTTCGGTCCATAAGAATGTAATTGTGTCCAATGGGTTAATAAACGTATTTATAAACTACCCAATGTGTAGTCCCAATGTGCACATGTTTTGCAAAGCGGTTCGGATCTTTCCTTTTCCATTTATTTATAATAAACTAGCTGACCCAGCGAACTTCGTACCGCCCTAAAAAAATAGGGGTTGTCCAGCGGACAAAATTATGAATCTAAACCATTCTCAGATCCCCTTGAACACACACAAAAAATTTCATCAAAATCGGTCCAGTCGTTTAAGAGAAGTTCAGTGACATACACACTCACAGAAGAATTATATATATAAAGATTAGCAATCACTTGTCAGCTAAAAAAATGTACCTACTGTGAATGAAATGAAGCCTCTTGTGTCCAAAACTGTAATGAATTTGACATACAAAGAATCTGAAAACATAATGGATATTATCATATAAATTTAATCTTTAAAACGTGAAACACACACACACCACGCACACACACACACACACACACACACACACACACACACACACGCACACAAAATGTATGTATTTATATAAATGTATTCTGTAAATCAACTCCGCTATCCTATTTAGTCACATTTATTTAATGTATATCAAAATCCTTCCCCCACAGGACAGGCTAAGCCTAGTGTGGGGGGTAAGAAATCTGTAAAATTGTTGTGAAATTTTCACTGTCATTGTCATTGTCATTGTCATTGTCATTGTCATTGTCATTGTCATTGTCATTGTCATTGTCATTGTCATTGTCATTGTCATTGTCATTGTCATTGTCATTGTCATTGTCATTGTCATTGTCATTGTCATTGTCATTGTCATTGTCATTGTCATTGTCATTGTCATTGTCATTGTCATTGTCATTGTCATTGTCATTGTCATTGTCATTGTCATTGTCATTGTCATTGTCATTGTCATTGTCATTGGTATTGTCATTGTCATTGTCATTGTCATTGTCATTGTCATTGTCATTGTCATTGTCATTGTCATTGTCATTGTCATTGTCATTGTCATTGTCATTGTCATTGTCATTGTCATTGTCATTGTCATTGTCATTGTCATTGTCATTGTCATTGTCATTGTCATTGTCATTGTCATTGTCATTGTCATTGTCATTGTCATTGTCATTGTCATTGTCATTATCAATTTTGCAACGCGTTTTCGTAACGTTTGTGTTAATACTCATAGAGGTTTAGAGATCATTGAGGTGAGGAGGGTAGGTGTGATATTGCATTTTTTAAACGACCTTCGTTGCCGAGTGGTTTTTACGCCGAGTTCCAAGATGGCGCCTACTAGAGAGGTCCTGAGTTCGAATCCCGGTGGGGCAGATGTTTTCGTGATGAATTTGAATGACGAGCATTTGTACTACAGTCACGGAAGTTCAATAACTATGTATTTTATATAAATATACTTATATATGTATCAGTGTATGTATTCTATCCGTTACCCTAGGATCCCATAACACAATGCTTACTTTGGCGCTAGACTAATTTGGTGTTTATTAAAAAGAAAATTGTATACCACAATGTAGGAGATTCCAGATGGGATCTTATATAATATAATTATGTGTTTTTTGACTAGCTCGATGGCGCAGGTGGTTGAAGTTAAGCAACTTTCGCAGTGGTCGGTCATTGGATGGGTGACTAAAAATCTTCTATCTCGAGTTCCTCCGTGCTTCGGAAGGCACGTTAAGCCGTTGGTCCCGGCTGCATCTGCAGTCGTTAGCATCCGCCAATCCGAACTGGGCTCGCATGGTGGGTCATCGCCCACTCTCCCTATTCCATCCATAGGAAAGGCCTATGCCCCAGCAGCGAGGACATTAATAGGCTGATGATTATGATGTACTTGAATAGTAGGAGCCTCGGGGAATTAACCTCCACCTTACAGCAGACCACAGTAAAATAACACTATCATTTGCTAGGGATATTCGATATACATCGATGCATCGAAAACATCGATATTTGTAATGAAAAACATCGAATCGATCTGATGTTTTGAAAAGCTTTCAATATACTCGATGCATCGATGTTTTTTAAAAAAGACATCGAATTGGTAGGTAATGGAGTTTGACTACGTAGTGATTATATCCTCTTTGGTTTGACCACAGTAAAAAAACTTAAGTACGACCACGAAAATTTTGCTTATTTCTATCATGAACGCATCATTATTCCGAATTCTCTAATATGGACCTGATGTTGGCAGCACTGCGCAGGAGTCAGTGCATTGACAATAAAAAATAACTACTTTTCACATTTCGGCTTGTGAGCGAGTTTTTATAAATTAATTTAAACTTCCTCCAGAATCGTCGGTTTATTCAGGAGAATGTTTTGGTATTTTTAAGGCAGTTGAATACATTAAAATCATGAAACTTAAATCTGCTGTAATATTTTCAGATTCAAAAAGTGCCTTACAATCACTAGAAAAGTTCCCATTCAAATTGAAAAATTATTCCCCTATCATTTTTAATATTAGACAAATGACACAGGAATGTATCAAAAATGGTCAGCATATAGAATTTGCGTGGATTCCTGCCCATATCGGCATAGCTGGAAATGAATTAGCTGACAGACTGGCAAGAGATGCTATATCATGTGGTGATGTTTTTCCGTTCCAGAATTATTGTTTAGATTTATTAGCTATTCCTAAATCTGTATTGCATGAAGGATGGGAACAAATGTGGAAATATAGTAAACTAACAAGAGGTAAATTTTATGCTGCAATTCAGGCTGACATTCCTTCTAAACCTTGGTTTTTCAATATGAAGTTTGGTAAGACGGAGACGTCCATGATTAACAGAATGAGACTCGGCCATTCGTCTGTGCCTTCCCATCTTGCCAAACTCAATATAATAAATAATCCTAGGTGTGACTGCGGGTTCGATGAGGGAAATGTTGATCACATTGTGTTTTC